CTAAACTGCTGGATTTTAACTGCCGATCAATAATTGATAAGACGGACTATCTTCAGTTCCTACCAAGTTTAACCATGTGACGTAATTGTTGTGTAGTCACAGTTCAAGAATAGTAGTTAAATGATTTAAACAAAGATTGCTTAATATCACAACAATGTTACAATAGTCACCATCAGAATCGACCAAAGAATAAGAATAGATGTGGCGGTGGCGTAGCTACGTTTGTAAATGTGCACATGTATCGATTTACGTTTTCATTTATTAAATGTACATGCGGCTTTACTTTAATATGCCATCCAAAACACTTGAACAAATGTATTTATTTTTATGCTACCATCATCTACTTGATTCTGAAACGGACATCACCTGCATTATCTGTTTTGGCCGATGAATTAAATGAATGAGCCGTTACTGCCCTCAACGGTTCAGGCAATTTATGTGACGATTTTAATTCGTGTGACTGCAGCTTTCTTTCATCACAAAGTAGCAGATTTTCCCACTCGTTTGGATGCCCATTTAGACTTAGTTTACATCAACGATGTGAGTGTAAAATACGATCTATAGGTTAACTCATTAATGGTAACATGAAACGTCCAAAAACACATTGATCTTCTGAATTTTGTATGACTATGCTTAACTCTTCTAGAGCTACAGCCGGTATCAAGACCGGATAAAGGAGGAGGGTTTAGTATGGGATCGGTAATCCCATTCGAGTGAAACCATCCTTGTAAAGAACGCTAACAAGAATCAACAAATTAAACCACTTAAACTCTCTCCTGTGAGTTGAGGGAAGAATTATGACGCCTCAGTATTAAAACCAAGATTTTTCGAAAGTTATGGGGCCGATGACACTTCTGACGACCAGAGCAACAATTTCTACAGGTACATAGAATATCCGGAAAATGCAAGGGACCGGGAGGACCAGTAAGTAGCAACGGAAATGAGGAGATATAACTTGGCAGTGTTCAAAACACATTGGATCCATGTTGGACAGCAAATCCTGGATAGTGAGAGATTCTGCTGTATTGTGATCATGAGGAGGAAAATGCTCCACACATTCAGGAAGTTGCTCTGGTGCTGTCCAAAGGAGCACGAAATGCACCTATAGAATTGCAATCTCGTGGACCCAGGATTATCAAATCATCCCTTAAAACAAAGAAGGGAATCATGATGGATGTTATACACCTACCAACAATAGCAGTGATGACGATAAATGTCAGTTTAACGATAGGATGCTATCGACAATAGCTAAGTACTCCGGAAAAGGCCTGATCATCCTGAAGGAAAACGTGAAAACCAGGAGAAGAGCTGACATAGCTTCTGATTACAACTTCGTTGTTGCCAAGATGAGTCTGAAGCCAAAGAAACCCTGGACAGATGGAAGAACAGCACTGCAAACGTTCAATACAATTTTCCTTCGAAATACTGAGAAACTCAACGAATTCAAGATAACTCTCAACAACGGGTCTAAGCCTTACAGGATCTAATGAAACAAGAAACCACTATGGAGGACAACTGGAAAGGTACCAAAGAAGCATTAACTTCAACTTTTCAGGAGGTGCCGGGCAGCAAGAAGCACCATCATAAGAAATGGATCTCTATGGAAACCCTACACGAGATTCAAGAAAGGAAGAACAAGAAGACGGCAATTACCAATAGCTAAAAAAGAACAGAGAAAATCAAGGCACAAGCTGGATACATGGAAGCAATTAGGAAAGTAAAGACAAACTTTAGAGCCGACGAGCAAAAAAACCAGCAACGCCAGCAGAAAAAGCTGCAAGAGAACGAAATATGAAACAGCTGTGTGACACAACGGAGAAATCAGCAGGACTATGTAGTAAACCAGGATAACTAGTCAAGGAAAAGAAGGTAAGCTAGTCACTGAGATTCAAGGACAGGGGAACGGATGGATAGAACACTTTGATGGACTCTTGAATAGACATGCTTCACTGATCCCAGCTACATTAAATCCACCGGACATTGAAAGCAGCACCTACAGACCTTCCTATAGATGCTACTCCACCAAAGACAGAATAAACTAGGATGGTCATCAGACAAATGAAGAGAAGAACATTGGGCTCACTAGTTCCATGCCTCTAGGTAGCCTTCGTTCTATTGATTGAAGAAGCCAGAGTAGTAGCGAACAGGTCTTTATTTAGATCGAGAGACAGTCACATTGGAGCGGGAGATTACCTGTTCAAACACACAAAGCTTTTCAACACTCAATATAAGATAATGGAAAATAAAATGCATATACGAAATAAGGACTCAGTAGACGACCTAGCCAACCTATCTCATACACACGAATAAATGAGGGTCAAGACAAAACGTGTAGAAGCAGAATCTCCATCAGTAGGCCTCGACATTTACAAGGGAAAAAGCAAGATCCTAAAACACAACACATAGAATACTAACACAATCACACGTGATAAAGAAACTCTAGGAGAAGTGGAAAGCTTCATGTACCTGTCTGGACAACATCATCGACGAATGTAAAGGATGTGATGCAGACGTAATAGTGAGGATTGGCAAAGCAAGGATAGCATTCCTACAACTGAAGAACACACGGAACTCAAAACAACTCTGTCAACAAATATCAAAGTCAGAATCTTCAATACGAACGTCAAGGCAGTTCTACTGTACGGAGCTGAAACTTGGAGAACTACAACAACCACCATCAAGAAGGTACAAGTATTTATCAATAGCTGTCTACGCAAGATACTCAACATCCATTGGCCGGATACCATCAGCAACAGCCTTCGGTGGGAGAGGACGAACCAGTTTCCAACTGAAGAAATTATTAAAAGACGTTGGAAGTGGATAGGACATATAATACGGAAATCGTCAAACTGCACCACGAGGCAAGCGCTAACTTGGAATCCTAAAGGGAAGCGAAAAAGAGGAAGGCGAAAGAACACAATTACGTCGAGAAATAGAGGCGGATATGAAAGGGATGAATAAGAACTGGAAAGGATTGCCCAGGACAGGGTTGGATGGAGAATGCTGGTGAGCGACCTATGCTCCTTCACGAGGAGTAACAGGCGTAAGTAAGTAAGTAATAATCACCATTGCTTGCACTTCATTGTTTAAAAATACACTACGGATCATCGTTGAACAATCAATCGAATGGAACTCATCACTATACATCAACTTCCTTGATTATGAAAAAGTATTTGATAGTGTGGGTAGCACCTTATGGAAACTTCGTCGACACTATAGTGTACATGAGAAAATCGTCAACATCATACGCAACTCACACGACGGATTACAGTGCAAAGTCATGCATGGACGACAACTGACAAACGAATTCCAAGTAAGGACCGGAGTTAAACAACGCGGCCTAATCTGACCCTTTCTCTTTCCTCTGGTGCATGACTGGATTATAAAGACTTCCATGTCTGACGGGAAGCAAGGAATACAATGGATAGCTTGGATGCAACTAGATGATTTGGACTTCGCAGATGGTCTAGCTAACCTATCCCATACACACGAACAAATGAGGGTCAAGACAAAACGTGTAGAAGCAGAATCTCCATCAGTAGGCCTCGACATTTACAAGGGAAAAAGCAAGATCCTAAAACACAACACATAGAATACTAACACAATCACACGTGATAAAGAAACTCTAGGAGAAGTGGAAAGCTTCATGTACCTGTCTGGACAACATCATCGACGAATGTAAAGGATGTGATGCAGACGTAATAGTGAGGATTGATAAAACAAGGGCAGCATTCCTACAACTGAAGAACACACGGAACTCAAAACAACTCTGTCAACAAATATCAAAGTCACGATCTTCAATACGAACACCAAGACAGTCCTATTAAACGGAGACAAAACTCCTAGAACTACTAAAACCATCATCAGAAAGGTACAAGTATTCATAAACAATTGTCTATTCAAAATACTCAATGTTCGTTAGCCGGATACAAGCAACAACAACCTACTGTGAAAGAGGACAAACCAACTTCTATCTGAGTAGGAAATTAGGAAAAGACGTTAAGAGTGGATGGGAAATACATTATGGAAATCACCAAACTGCATCACGAGGCAAGCGCTAACTTGGAATCCTGAAGGTAAGCGTAAAAGAGGAAGGTCGTACAGCGCACTTCACTGATAATTGAAATCAGACATGATAAGGAGTACGCGGCAAGCCACGAAACCAGTTAAGGCACTGAAATTCAGACCGTATGAATAGCAGCTTTGATTACTAGATCTCTAGCCATTAGAGTATAGGCGTTTTGGAGGTGATGTTTTAATGACCAATAACATCCTAAACACTCATATGTATCCTCTTAAATACCTAATTAAGCTCAGGGCAAACATCATGAAATCAAACACAAAATAGGGCACAATGGACTGTGAGCACGCCTTTCACCTCTTTACAAGTAATCAAATTCTGTAATTCGCTGCTGACTAGGGTGGTTCGAGCGACGTCACAGTAGTAGTTTAAGAGAAAAATTGACATGTTCTTAAGGGCTCAGAACTGTAACTCACTGTAATTCACCGACATTTTATTTCTTATTGTAGAATGTATCTAGGTTCCAGCCCTGAGGCATCGGTGATACACTGCTACTAGATACTAAAGCTCATTAAGCGAAAGCTTCTTCACTTCCATCTAGAACTACTTAAGTCATTTGGAATGTCGTTGTGGAGATAGGTACGACAAACATTGTCTATCTCCATACCTTCCCCGTATTATTCGTATCAGTCTTAGGAGTGACCACTTTCAGGGAGAAGGTGAATCTCCAATGAGAAACAAGTCGCAAGTACTGACACAGGTTAAGTTATCTATTATCCTTCTTGCTGAAGACCCGGAAACTGAAGTTCTGTCAGCATTGACAATGACTGTCTCCGGCGTTACTCTTTGACAACTTATATTCATGAATTCATTATTTTCACTTCTGCTTCTAGAAGTAATCTCAAGGAAACATTTGATTCCGCCAGGAACAGTTTGACGATTGAAAAGCTCAACATTTTAAGTTAAATATTTACCTCCTGCTTCGACCTTCAGTATACTTGACGTCGGTTTTAAGACTTTTTCTCTTATATTTTCAGTTTAGATGTCATTGACATAAATAAGGGTTTATTCACATTGGATTTAATCCTCGCATCTAGGAACTGTCTATAGTTTCCAGGAAGATACACACTAAAAACCCAGTCATCTGTTTTGCAAGACTAGACTATAGATTGTATCTAACATAAAAATGCTAAACGAAAAACATGTTTGTATCCAAAATCTGACCCTGCTTTTCAAAAATTACTAGCCAACGTACTTCGTATTTCACGTTGAACCTTACATTTATCTTATTTTTGTGTGTTTATTGTCACTCCAAGTTAGCAAAAACATAGAGCTATGTAACATTGAGCCCCACTTCTAAATTTATCCAGCTCTGTTCCACGGTTCTTCTGAGAGATATGTTTTTTACGAATTTCAACTAATTTCGTGATGTACCAGTCGCTGCTAGTAATGGTATTATACATTGGTAGATGTCATTTTAACAACTAAACTTGCCACTCTTTAACAGTAGAGTGATCACGAGTTGATTATGTACAAAGTAGGACCTAAGACGAACGTGCATTTATCTGAGTTGCTATACCTATCAGTGATAAAAAACCGCAAGTACTTCTATGAAGGGTCCGATTATGGTTACTGGATCAGTTGCCCTAGTGGTTAAGCGCCTGGTAGAAACATCAAATTTGCAACCGGAGTTTATCCATTCATGGTTTAGAACATATTGTAATTGGGCGGAAATTATTTATCCTAGAGCGAACAAAAGGTGAATCTCAGTAGGTGGTGTTATTTGTAATACGAAATGTTAACACGATCTTTATGCTTTGAAGGAAATAATCAACAAGTCCATCGTCCGCTCACTACATGCTGTTTGACATGTTAAAGTGTATGATTATCTTTGGCGAACAATTGTGTGGCTCTTAACAAGGGGTGAATTCCAAACATCCCTCATCAAACCGTTGAGATGTAGGTTTCTTAAGTCATATTCTACACTATGAATACGTAGTTATACAATATGAGTGATATAGCACAGGATTATTGGTAGTGCATCCCCTATTTATCTCCCTTTGAGTACTAAACGTCTTGTCACTCCAGTTTCTCTCTTTATTCATATTTTTCTGGGATATCATCCTTTTTGCTTCTCTATTCTGCAGTTGCAGATTATGTGGCAACTTCGCTACTCTTTTGTACGCTATGTCGGTTGTATTTATGTACAAAAATCCGTAACGTCTGGCAGTATTTGGTTAAAAGCTGGAGAGAGAAAACAATCGTGGAACTCGTCTAATTTTCCTCAGATGTGCTATTGAATGACATACGTCTTCGAATAATCTCCTGATTCACAGTAGTATAAAGGAAAATCGCTGGTCGAATCCCTTAGCTTCCTAAATCCTACTGGGCTTCTTTTAGTATTAGAAAATCCAGGTTTTCTGTCTTATGTACTTCAAGTTTAAGTGGTTAGTTACTCCATAACCTGATAAACATAAGTGTTGCTTCGTTTTGATTTCTTTTGCTACTAGCTGTTAGGTTGCTTCTTGTAACCTTAATGTACGTAATCTAATTTGACTGAATAATAATTATTAGTCCATTTGTAGGAATTAGGACTTACAGCGTAAGACGCGAATTCCCGCTTCGCTAATCAGTTTCTAATTACTTTTTCCAGTTTTGTCGCATGTCTTTAAAGTAACTTCTGTCGTTCTTTCTCCAGGTTCTTATTGTAAAGACATTTTCTTGTTAATAAATCGTAGTCCATATCAATTAAAATCTTTCCAGAAGCTTGGCTTCAATGGCGGCACCCGTGTTAACTAAGGAGGCTGCTGAAAAGACCGCGCGTTCTATATTCGTAGGTAACATACCGTATGAAGCGACTGAGGAAAAGCTTATCGAACTATTTAGCAAGGTAATAATTCTCATCCTACTTCATTATTATCATAGGCTGGTCCTGTAATCGGTTTTCGTTTGGTATATGATAGAGAATCTGGGAAACCCAAAGGCTACGGATTTTGTGAATACAATAACCCAGCTATTGCTGCTAGTGCTTTGCGGAATCTTCAAAATATTGAATTCAATGGTCGTCCTCTACGTATCGGACCAGCTGCTGGAGAGCAAAATTCTGCTGAACTGGCTCTAAGTAACCCATCAGTTGGTCCACCACTTGAAAGCCCATATGGAGATAATATTGATCCACAAGCTGCACCAGAAGCTATTAGTCGAGCAGTTGCTAGCTTACCACCTGAACAAATGTATGAACTAATGAAGCAGATGAAACTTTGTATACAAAACAATCCTAATGAAGCACGTAATATGTTACTTCAAAATCCTCAACTAGCATATGCTTTACTACAGGTAACGTTTGTTGTTTCACTCTCATCTATTTGTCCATACAGGACTTCAAATCCGTCGAATAAGTAGAGTAGTTGTTTCACTTATTGTTCTGTAACAGCTGTTAATTGTACATAAGCTATGCAATCTAGACTATCAATCCTATTTTACAGAATGTCGAGTTCTTGAGAATTTCTTACCACTATTTTACCTGGGCGTTCATGACCAGTACGTTTCAATCCTTATCATTCATCTGACCATTTGTCCATTTCTGACGTCTAACATCTCTGGGCTTATTATCTTCAATGGACTAGTTACATCGAAATGTTTTGTTAATTAGAGGAAATGCAGAATAAATGAAGCTTCAAAAATCCGACCAAAACAATATACCTATATATAAATCCTGACAATTAAATTAAACACTGTGCGATCACAAACTGCTCTAGTTGAGTCTATGAGATATTGACAACAAATTTGAATACCTCAAGCAATATAACTGAAAATCAATTAGATTGGAACTGATATATCGATTCGGTCTAAACTATTGATTGTTATCTGTTCACTTATTCTTTTAGCTTGAATAAGTATTCTCCATGGGTTTTTTCCTCAACGTGAAAATTCGAACCAACGTACCATTACATTTTATCCTATAAATTTATCACTTAAGATGTGGTTAGATCGCCCCACTAACTGTTAGCTAACTATTGTCCGTTTATCTCCCACAAATCTTACCAAAGCTATAAAGTGGTGCGATAGTCGAAAAGGAACTAACTGTATTTCTTCGAGCTAAAACAACTATAGGTAGTACTTGAGTTTTTGATATGTCATTGATTCGTATAAGTAGTTAACATGTCATAAACTCATTCTCGGTGTTTGCACTTCGCTGTCATCAATAAACTCTGTAAGCGGTATTACTCTCACTATGTAACGCAGTCGATATATCACATCGTTATATTATGTAAAGTAACGGGATGCCTATTGTATCCCGAAAGTTGACGTTCTTTCTAAAGTCATTTGTTTTATGGAGTTCTCCAAAAAAGATCATAATGTAGAAAGTTTTAATTTGCAATTATATTGTGAAATCACAGACAGTGAACCAGAATAAGTGCAGATACTAACTGAGTCTCATCTTCCGGTGTTTTCATTTCGACATAATCAGATTATAATACATTCTCTTACTTATTTCTTTAATTTGTTTCATAGGCTCAAATCGTTATGAAGATTGTCGATCCCAAAGTGGCCATCGCTATGTTAAATCGCAGTCATGATCAAATCCCCCCTGCTATGCCGGATGAAGACATGTCTATGAGAGCACCAGTTATGGCTTTCCCTGGTCATATCAACCAGACACCACCTTCTGTGGGTCCTAACACTCCAGGAAATCATATGATGCCTATGTCTTCACCTGGGTCTCACTTGCCCCCCTCCGGCTTTCCACATCACGGTGGACCTGGACCCGTTCCACACCCAAATCATTTCGGTGTTGAACAAGTTCCACAAAGAAGTCAAGCACCTCAAGGAAGTGAGTGTTTGTTGATTCTTTTGCGATAATTACATTTTCAAGGGGAGAAGTAAAGATTTAAAACGATTCCGCTCTTTAAATTCGGATCGTAACATCAGATTAGATGGGTCACTTATCAGTCATCTATAGACAATACTTGGGGTAGATGTACATTGTTTAGAGGTCCTCACTTCTCACCAATAGAACGAGAAAAGCAATTAAAAAAATGGAAAAAAAAACAAGTCACAGTGATAGTAATATTAATAATAGCTACAGAAACTAAATATCAAGAGTATGGTTCTAGGACAATCAAACAAATGAGGGGATATAAAGTAGGAAATATTATTGAAGCTTAGTCTAGGAGAAAACAAAGAACGAGTACATCATTGCGATTTATCAAAAGTCTTCACTTAAGATCCTCAACCATTAGTTTTGATGGTCACTTGCAATCTGATCAGGAGATCTGCATCTCCCAACACGTCTCGAACTAACAGTTGGTGTTTTCATGGCTTAAGCCGTGTTGTTAAGTGCGGACTGCCTGATTGAGGTGTCCGCTCGATTATCTTGAGAAGTAGTTGGTAATGTTGGGTGACATTAACCAAAGTCGGTCTCAGTGATACAAAATCTTTTACTGTTTAAGTATCTTTAGATTTTGAGTTTCAGAACTATTTTTTTTATCTTTTATCCTGAGAATTCATCCTCTAATCACTTGCATGTATAATCTCGTCTACTACCATTGATATTACTATGGTATTCATCTTGGCAATTTCACCTTTTTGATGTGGCGTATCAACTTGGACGGATTCACATATGTACAAGACCTACGTTACTTATATCTGACTACCTCATGGGATAATGTCATATCTTTGTTTAACCGCTTTTAACTGTCATCCGACATAAATCTTTGCTAACTTCGATTTTGGGGGAGCATTTCAGTAATGGCTTATGATCCTAGTGGTTTTTCGTGTACAAATTGCAAAACCGCACTCTCTAGACTCAGATTGTAAGAAATGTGACGAATGATTTTAATTTGAATGAAGATCATGTATATAACTCAGTCAAATTGCTAGGTACATCAATTCCGTTCCGATGTTTCACTATTAGTTGTCATCCAAATATACCCTGGCAATGGGGAATGCCGTAGTTAAGTACAGCGGGTAGCTGATTATCCTAATGTTTGTGTTACTACTCTCTTTCTAGTTGAAACAGGAAATTTTTGATTTGCCAACTAACCGTTGTCGTAAAAAGGTGGATTTTACTAGTCACAGTGAACATTAGGATCTAGAAAGTTCACATCATAAGTAAACCACCAATCTGCTTTTCAAAATGCAACGTTGAAATTAGGTTTTTGGTGGAGTTTTGTTCTCTGAGCTGGATGGTTTGGTCGTGGAGCTTTCATCGTTCTTCTGGACGGTATCATCAGCACAAACTTCAGGTAGAAGTGAAGTGTTCAAATTTCTCCACGTGCGGTTCACAGCTTGTCCTGTAGACCTGAAATTAGGTGTAACATTAATGATAATTTTTATAGTCACGTAGACTTTAAACTAATATGCACTTACTGTTCATAATAAAAACTGGTACAACTTATCTCCGCACAAGCCATCAATGTCTAACTGTTTGACTGTAGGCAAGTAAAACAGACATAAGTGCAATTTATTGGACACATGACTTTATGTTACTGTGGGCTTTGTTTACTACGTAAAAGCTAGTCGAAATCAGCAACCCCGAAACCAATCTAAAACAAGGCAATGGGCAGAAGGAGCCAATGTTTAATTTGAGAAATTACAGTATATATATATATATATATATATATATATATATATATATATATATATATATATATATATATATAGCCTTACATCATCCATTCTCATCTTGCCGTGTATTCTGCCTATTCCGTGCTTTGGTGTGCCGCGACTTCCCTGTCTAACGATTTTTGAGCCCACGTTCCTCCACATATTAGTTACAAGTATTCTTGTGAGTAGCTTCCACCCCGCTAGTGTAAAAATTGTAGTCAGTAGACTACCATTGTTGTTATCTTGAGATGGTAGTGAGATTATCTTTCGTGACAACTCAGTCGTATCATATTCGTTGATTGATCGTTCCTTGAGGCCATAACATACCAATCAGGTTGGTTGAATAGTATCCAGATTGAAAGCGACAAATCTAAAGTCTTATGGCTCATTCGTACTGTCAGCTGTACTAAGATGTGTCAACAAGGCGTTTTCCACGGGCACCCAGCATCTCTAGAAATGCTGCCTACTAATAACTAGATCGGTTAGAAGACATCGACCTTAAAAATAACACGATATTCCTCCTTCGATTTATGTTGGCAAGACTCGGAAGAGGTGGAGCTAACACAAACAAAAAGACTTCGAGATCGGTCTCAAGTCGTTATCCCTTAGGCTCTAGGATCAAGCTCTCATATCCTATTGGGAAACAATGTCGACCGCGCACATACGTCTAATAGTATTCACACGATTGTCGAAATCAATTAACAACCATCATCACAAAATGTTTTCTGCACTGCATGTACTGTTGATTTTATCTTGATATTCTGTCATTATTGCTTTAAGATTGCATATCAAAATTATGCAGTAAAATTTGGCACGATAACTTACTGAGTTGTATTTCAAAAACAAGATACGAAACCCAGAGCAGTCTATCAAACCGTGAAAAAAACTTAACATTAAGGCCATGTGTTACAAAATTAATGATTTTTAAAATAAGATCACGCGGTTGTTCAGCACAAAATAGGCGTGGATGAATGGAACGTTAAAATGTCACCAGATATACTAAGTGTGTGATAACTTTTGTGAATAAGTTAGTTGCTATGGTGCAGTAGTTTTTTCTTTGGGGACTTTTCTGTTTCTAAGCCATGAACTAACTGGTTATTTGACGATCTTTGTAAGTATGTATCTATATGGTGTTATAATCTATGAATATTATTACATGTTTCCTATTTCTGGTCCATACCTTTGTAGTGCAACAGAAGTTTTATCCAAATAATGTGCCACCTAATGGGTTTCCTCCTAATTCTGTTGCTCCACCATCCCAGCCGCATTTTGACTATCCATCAGGTCAAACACAGTCATCAGCTATGTCAGGACAACAACCACATTTCAATCCCAATGGACCTCCAAATATGGCCGTCCGACCTCAAAGACCACCTGCTGCTCAGGTAAGAATTTCTGAACTAAATATTACAGACCAGTACTGATAATGCTTTAAGTGCGCAAACAATTTCAGAGAATTTCTAGTGCGTCCTCACTTAATTTTCAATACTGAATACCTCTCCGTAATGTTCAATTCAGAAGTAGGTTGGAAAAACTGTAAATCCTGGGATTCAGGATGCATAACATGTTAGGGTTTTTCAATGTACGAACCATCGAACAGGTTAGGTGTTTCAGAGTAGACAGTAATCTTGGATTACTCTCGATCAAGTTCGTCATTTCTACCCACGCTCCCACTGACTTCAGCCAGAATGAAGTGAAAGATGAATTTTACAGAAAGCTTTCTGAATTTTTTGATAGGGCTAAACGCTCAGACATAGTACTCATAACAGGTAACTTTAATGCCCAAGTAGGTAGCTTAAACCAAACATAAAGACATTTAGGTGGGTATTTTGGTATTCCATTTCAACAAATAGAAAATGGTGACTGTCTGCTGCAATCGTTTATTTCTAACAAGCGCTAATTTTAAGCATAAGAAGAGACATCGTCTAACATCAGTCGCCGTTGGAGAGGATCGTCAGAAGGCTGCTGCTCGTTTTGGAATAACTATTTAGACTGTGATCATGATCGCATCTGCTTGAGCCTCATTGAACACAGAAAAGCCACAATAAGAAGACAAATTAGAGTTGAACTTAGCAACCAAAAAGCCAAAAGAAAGTCCCAGGGACAACTAAAGTCACACTTCTGCGATTGTGAAATCGAGGCTGACCAAGATGTTGCTTTGAAAGATATACGAACAACTATGGAAATAGCAGCGACATCTGTTAGTGATATGAACCAAATAGTCATGAACAGCCAGTGGATTTTTGCTAAGTCTATTGCACTGATAGACCCTCGTGAATTTATCTCGTCAGGTTCCGAACACAATGATAAGTGGAAAGAAATCAGATCTAAATCAACCAAAAGACTACGGAACGATCGCGAGCAGTGGTGGGCAACAAAAGCGAGAGATTGAAAAAGCAACAGCTGTATGTAACAAGACAGCTTTTGAGACCAATAAAAGAAACCAGAATCAAGAATTCAAGTGTGAGACAATATCGGTAAAAGATGACACTCTTACCTGCTCTCCGTTCAAACATTTGGAATGATGGGCGCCACAATTGAAGGAGCAGTTCAGCCGACCTTCAGCTATTATACAACTACCCACCATTCCCAGACAGCCTGCGTTTCTTCCCCTCTAAATGAGAATTGTTGCTTCAGGACTGGCCTGCGTCAACACCTAAACTAAGGGTAGGAAGTCAAGTAGTCAAACGAATCGACAGCTTCATTTATCTCGGAGGTCTGATCAGCTCTAATGGGTTGGTGTCTGACGAAGTCTCAGCACGGATTCGAAAAGCTCGTTTTGTTTTCGCCAAGTAAGGTCACCTATTGCGAAAGCGAGATATCTGTCTACCAATTAAAGGACGGGGTACTGTGCTTTACTTTACGGCTGCAAAACATAGCCGTTGAGAGTAGAGGATACTCGTAGGTTACTAGTATTTGATCACATATGTCTTAGAAATATTGCTAGCATATACTGGGATCACCGGTGAGGTTAGACACAGGGTATTAGGGGACGATGGTTAATCAGTTGATGAGGTGAATCATCAAGTGAGATGTTCGAGCCTCGTATTACGCATAGATAACCACCGATTACCACGACGTGCAATGCTGACAAGTGTTGGAGACGTACGGCATCAGTCCATAAAGTCATTAATTTATGTTGGCAGATGCATACTACTTGGTCGGGATCTGCGCAACTATCGTAACCAGGGGTTGAAGACTCTGGGTGACATGGCTCGATCACAATTGCGTAGGTGTATACACTCGTTGTCTTCCCTTAAACCGTGGGATTGTAATTACTCTACACCTTCCTTTCTACAAACCAATTCTTTCTCCCTGTATCATATCTTTATATGCAATCTCTTTTGTTTTATATATTACTACGATTGAAGTAACTGCTTCTATGAATTTGGTGTTCACATTGTTGTGCTAATGAGGTATGGCAACTTGGACCGATGTATATATGTGCCTGGTCATACGTCGTAGCTGAATGACCATAAGTCTGCTTGGTAGACACTGGCAAAAAGCAGCGTCCTAAACACTGAGTGATAACACGAATGTTTGTGATATTGTTCTTCGCCTCTTAAATGCAAAAAGCTTGATTCAGTGCTGATGTACGTCTTATTTGACTATAGGAAGTGGAGTGAGCAGGAGCTCTCAGTACAGCACTAATCTTGGGAGTCTCGTCACTCTTGGTGGGTTGGTGGCTATTGAGATCTTAAGACAGATACAGACTCTTAATTTTCGCTAGCTAAAGGGTGAGTACTCTTTGCAGCAGCTTGACTTGTTCACGGAATGAACTGTGTTGATGATAGAAGAGTCATAACTGACATAGGAACTGGGACAAATGTGTGTCAGTCAAAGTTGCTGCACATCGTTTTAGGACAGTTAGAAAATAAATTAACAGCATAAGCAAAAGAAAACCAGTTTTAACTCTAATGTAAATTTAAACATGAGAAATGTCTTCCAGGATCAGAGTGAAAGTTATGAATAACACAACTCAGGAGTGCAACCGTGATTGACTGAGCACTATGTCATTTGATTATTAACTATTATGAGTAAGTAGGTATCCTTTGACGAAGTTGTAATTCTTCACCGATCGAGGCGGTTAAGACACGCAGCATATATACCTAGACACTTCCTACTTCGATGTCCAATAGTAGTCAGGATAGCAGGTTGGAAAAAAGCTAGGGGTAAGTAGGTCAAAACACGATACCAACCCACCAAGTCACTGGCTGTGAACTTCTTAGTTGGAGGAGGCGCAACAGTCTTACTCTGGTCAGAAATAGATAGGATAGTCAAAAGTCAATGTCAGGAACACAAATGCATTCTTCCATCTCCCTTTAAATTTTAAGTATCATTCGTCACACCCATCATTTGATACTGTGTGTTACCTTTGAACTGCGTAAATGCTTTTCATCCTGTTAATTCCCTCTCTTACCGTGCTAATGTGAGATGTCATAAACATATCTTACTTCGGTTGATTGCCCCTCAGTGTGATTTTCCGTTAAACAACTAATTAATGCATCTTATCTGTATAGTTGAATTTATTGTAAGAAGAATCACAAGTTTCTCCAGGTAAACATGTACATATAAACTTTTGAACTACGCATAAGTAAAACTAAAAAATTTTTCCTATCATATTTAATAACATTTGTAATATCAAACCACTTCGCCTTTAGGTAGTACCAATAAGATAGAATTCTCGTAAACGACTACTTTAAATAGTCTTTTGAGAATGCAATTATTATCTGATTTATATACAAATGCATAAAATCGCATCTTACATATTCTAGCTAATTTTACTTGTTTTTTAAAATAATTTTAACAGATTACCCCTGCAATTGCTGCAGCGGCAGCTGCAAGTATGGGTCCCAATAGTTTACTAGCAGGACAAGGTGAACAAGAAAAAGTCACACTTATTATGCAAGTTCTTCAGCTATCAGATGAACAACTTGCTCTCTTGCCAGAGGATCAACGACGCAGCATTATGATTTTAAAAGAACAACTCGGCAAAACAGGAGCAATTTAATCCCTTATAGTGTGTTATTTATTGATATTTACAGCATCCCAATAAATTTGTAATTTATTAAAAATAAAGCAATTGGAATTATGCAAGATAACTGTATTGATCAGGATCATCTGGATTTCGTTCAAGATAGCCAGTATCTATTAGACCTTCAATACAACGCTTAATTAGTGGTATTGGTGGTTGGAAGCGGTTAGATGCTTGTTGTAAAATAGCTTCAATAAGCTGTGCATGTTTTATCTGTCTTCGAGCTTTTAAAATTCGCACAATGGCCGCTTGTATGAAGTAGCGCCGATCCTCGTTCACTTGACGATCAACCTGATCAGCTTCCGACTGTAAAATAAGGAATAAAACAAATCTAGATTTGCTTAGAAACAATGGTTTTAAGAGGCTCAGTGAACCTTACACTTTCTGAATTAATTAGTATTACAAACATACTTAATTAAATGTATCTTACAACAAACTACGTGAAAGTTACCAAAACAACGCATCAGATTGATTTGTTACTTATCTCAAGACTGCAGAGAAGCAAAATAATAAAATGAGTTGAACATCTGTTTGATGGAGATGAAAGAAATGAAACTAAGTGCATCACTATTATCAGAACCAGTGTCTTAATTGACTAAAGTTAGTTATGTGAGCTGTTGGATGCCAGCTCAGTGATCAAAAACTTAAGCTCTTGCTGCGTGACCTGAAGATCCTGGGTTCAACTCGCAGCGGGGTTGTGAATGGGCATTGCTTACGAGTCCCATACTAGAACGAAACAAACTTCAAGTGGTTTCCTAGGATCAGTCTGTGATTTAAACAGTATGGGAAGTGTTGATAAAATTAAGTCATCGTTTAATATTTTTCTAGCCCTTTTGTGTAAAGGGAATACTAGTCTTAGCATCATGTGATTGTTACGAATAGACTTCACAAATATAGCGCTGTCGATTAATGGATATATAAAATCCTAAAGTATTTGTATGTATCTATTTGGACATTCTAGTATTCCCAAAAGTCAAACCACTAATCTGTTTCCTGTTACGGTTACATGATCAAAAGCTAATCCTCGTTTGGTTTACTCATCATCATAAATATATTGTGACATTACTTAGTTTAATGAAAATATAATTTTCTTATCAATATGCAGGAAGTCTGGGTCACCTATCTTTTACTTCACCACTTTAATTGTAGTCAGGTTAATAATGTATAAATTTAGGTGGAAGCATATACATTCATAAGTAACTAACCTGGTTTGATTCTTTTCCTTGTGAGCCGAAATTCACCCTTAGCTTTAGACGTTTGTTTGTAAACGAACGGTTTAGGGCTATAACGCTATCCATCTACGCAAATATATAAATGGTTAGATGTATTATGCTATCAATAACTTACTGTCACGATGTTACCCAATGAATTACTACTTTGCCCTTCATTTGCTTCAACATATATTATGTTCAACTCAATTAGGGGCGTCAAAAGTCGTTGAATAAGATCCAGTTCACATGAAGAATCCAACACATCTTGTGAACAAGTTTCCATTTTACTAGTAATTGAAGAGTCAGTGGCTGGAACACTTCGTTTAGATGTAGAATTATTCTCACTACATATAGTTGATCGACCTTCAGATACAGCTAGTTGTAATCCGAAATGTAGATCTTTCACTTTGATACGATCTGAGTCCATATGATCAAAAAATAGTAGTATAGCAGCATTAATAGCAGGCGCTTGTATTTGATAAGTTTTATCAGTGAAAAGCACTTGAAGTTCCACTGTTGAATAACTATGTGCCCATCTCATTTTTCTTCCTTGATGAGCGGCTGTATAAAATTCTTCAAAATGGTAAGTACATGTATACAATTCGAGTGGGAGTAAAAAATCAGTAACACCACTAAGTGAAATTGGCCACGAGCATTGCTGAAAAATGAAACGAAATAAAGATCTACTAGGACTAATGTGGTATAGCAGAAGTTGAAGAATATTTTATTTGCTACATGCACTTACAAGGCTCTAGACAATAGTCAAGTCGCTCACACCAAAACCGATTGGACAAAATATAAACTTGGAATTATATCACATATATTCATACGTAAGTTAGAAATATTGGTTCATTTCATACGAAAAAATAAGCCTGATCATTAGAATGTGTTGAAACATGTTTACGCTGTAGTTCAGTCACAGCCCAACTGATTAAATGTGAAGTTTACTCACTTTAGAACTGACTATAAGTAGTGTTCAGTAAGTTTGATAAAATCACAAATTTGCTTTGATTTCTTTGTATTCTGCTGTTGGATGTATATTAGTTACGAAATACTACATGAGTGATTGATTTCCAACGATGGTGAAAATTTTAATTGAAAATCTGATATTATTAATTGAGATTTAACATATGGAACATTTGCGTACACTTCATGTCCAAAACTGTATTATGATCAGAATGGAGTAAAATTATTGCAATCGCTATTGACTGAACAAACTCATACCTTCTCCTCCCCACCACCGGATTCACCTTATCATCACAGATAATTCTCTTTCCCCAATCATCAAGATAAATAATCACAAAAAACGTTTACTCGGTACTGTTTTGGATAATGTGTTACAACGTGAATTGTGTTTTCATTTTGTATGTTATGTTGTGTATGTTATTCAACAAAACCTATTAAAAACGTTACATGGAGTTGGATATAAATTTTCGTGGAAGATTTCGAAAAGTTTACGCGATAAAACATTTCTTAATTGAAACGACGTGTAAGGCATTGAAGTGACTGAATAGGATTTTTTTACTAAGTAGTAAAATTACAAAGGTAGATAGATAACTAGCTGGACATGACCATATACAATGATTTTATGAACTGGTTCCATTATGCATCCAGTCTCATATACTATTATCCTGAATAATTGAACTGATTTTCAGAAGTACGTAGTTTCAATGGTTGAGATCATGAGTCAATTAAAGCTAGATCTGGAAACACTGGACGGCCGTTTCGTCCTATTGAGGGACTCAGCAGTGCGCATCCACGATCTCGCCTCACGAGATTCGAACCCAGGACCTATCAGTCAATTGACTCATGATCTCAACCATTGAAAGTACTATAGTATCCACAAAACCTTTCTGATAGAAGTAAGTAGATCAGATATTTTAAAAATCACATTTGCTATTAAATAGAACATAATTGGCTCAGCAAGTATCTGAGCATACTAGGCTAGATAATTGCATCATCATGTGTTCTCTCCTGTCTAGTACTCTCTGAACAATACATTACATTCAACACGACTAGTAGTAAGAATGACTTGGAAACAAAATGTATCCTAAAAAGTTTCGGAAGTAAAAACAATTGATTTTATATGGAAATCACATAAGGTATTAGCAACTTTTGGATTTGTTCCGGAGCGTTGTTTGCATATGAGCCAGTCAGTGTTCAGATTATTCTAAGCATAAAGGTTGGATTGTTAAGAATTTATTCTAGTAACAAAGCATTGATTGTAAGCAAAGATAGATAGTGGCTAGCAGTGGAATCCAGGACGCGCGTTTCGTCCTATTTGGGACTCGTCAGCTGGATGTACCTGGACCTCAGAATTGATGTTCACTCTGGGACTCGAACCCAGTACCGTCCGCTTCAAACGCCATCGCGTTATCCACTTAACTACTGAGTCCTGATAGCCACTTGCATGTGCAATGGAGTGAAGTTTAATTCACTTGATATTGTTTTACATGAATCTTCCCATTGATGTTTAGGACTGCAATTGATCAGTCTCTCATATTGGCATATGTGCATACTGTGCGTATTGCCTCGATATTGCCTAAATTTACAAGCATTATAAGCAAAATGGATAGTGGCTAGCAGTGGAATCCAGGACGCGCGTTTCGTTCTATTTGGGATTGATCAATCGCAGTCCTAAACATCAATGGAAAGATTCAAGTAAAACAATATCAAGTGAATTAAACTTCACTCCATTGCACATGCAAGTGGCTATCAGGACTCAGTAGCTAAGTGGATAACGCGATGGCGTTTGAAGCGGACGGTACTGGGTTCGAGTCCCAGAGTGAACATCAATTCTGAGGTCCAGGTACATCCAGCTGACGAGTCCCAAATAGGACGAAACGCGCGTCAAACTGCATTCCACTGCTAGCCAATATTCATCTTTGTTTATACTGCTTGTAAATTCAGGTAATATCGAGGCAATACGCACAGTATGCACATATGCCAATATGAGAGACTGATCAATTGCAGTCCTAAACATCAATGGGAAGATTCAAGTAAAACAATATCAAATGAATTAAAGCATTGATTGGTTCATGACTTCAATGAAACTTTTAACAAAATTCGTATATATTGGATTTTACAACAACGGAAAATTTGTTAAGTTTATCGGTTCATTGATTATCTTCACTATTAACTCAAGACTTCGTATTTCCCGCCTTGTTAGCTCAAAACCCGCATATTTCTAAATCTTAATCAGTTGAGTTACTCTAACAAGATATCTTTTTTTAAGAAAAAGATATTGTATGGTATATTGTTTAAAACTAATCACAATTATTAACATGAAATTAAGTTTACTTACTGTTAAAACATGAAAATGATGACCAAAGGTAAAACGTATATCTTTTGATTGTAAGTACTCAGTAAACTTCCGATTTAACTCAGGACTAAGTTGGACATCATTAAACATACGCTGAAATTTTGAAGTAAATTCATATCCACACACAGTTTTTAGCTGATTAATCACAGATTCTTCGAGTTCAAGCATGGAAGAATAATTGAACACCAGTCTTTTGCACAGCATACGTTGATAATACTAAAAAAATGTAGTCATAATTATGAACATAAGTCATCAGTATTATAAAAGATTAATTTTAATCTCTTCACTCATTGTATAATTCAGCGATTCTAGAGAACACTGCTATTTCGTGGATTATCAACTATGATAAATAAAAATTAAGTTTCTTTAAAAAATGTATTACAGTCGACGTTGCTACACTTAACAGCACAACACAATAAGATGAAGTGATATGAATGATGATAATGATAATAACAACTAAACATGAAACATCTTAATAAATCCTCTATACTAACAGTAAACATGTGCTTACTAGTAACTAGCTTCAAGATTTAACTTCCGGAGTTCTAGTGCCCAGCCGTAATCAACAGGGTTCAAAACGTGTTGAGTGTGAGACAGTTATTCACCACGAGCAATAGATGAGGTTTATACAATATCGCGAATATGTTAAAGTTAGACATTGAAACCGTCGGTTAGTGGTTCAGTGGGCTAGAGTTTAGACGTTTGTGCGCGAGACGAACGTCGTGGGTTTGATTTCCGGATGCGAGGTCGTGGATTCACACTGCTGAGCAGTCCCATACCAAGATGAAACAGCCGTGAAGTGCTTCTAGGTTTGTAATCATAGTCTAGATAAGATTAGTTCGTGATTTTAAATTGAGAATTCTAAAGCCTTCACGAATCTTATACTTATAATAAGAAATATAATTCATAAGCAACAGATTAACATGGATATTAAAGATATGTAGTGATACTATGCTCAAGATTTAGAGAAAAACAACAAATGTGTACATCTACCCTAATACCATTAACTCAAAGTCATGATAGATGAGTCCTTAGTAGTAGATGACAATTATTCTGTTCAACCTAGTTACGGAATTCGAAGTCCCAGAAATGACATACACTAATACTCAGTGACTTCATGTGGTAAAGCTATCTCCTGTTTTTGAATGTTCCTATTCTTCCTCCAATCAACTGTTGACAAGTTCGTTACTGGAAATTTTATTACTGCCTTTCTGACCGCTTCCTAAAATGCCAAAATACTCCTAGACGTCAACTTGAATAATGGAGAAAAGACGCGAAATGTGAGTGAGAGGTTAGTTTGTGCACAGAAAATCGAAGGCATTTACAAATTTGTATATGAAATCATGCTTCAAGAACCTCCTGCAAGCATACTAAATTTGGTAACAGGATAGGTAATTACTGAACCAAAAACATGACCCTTAATTTTTCAGAAGCTTCAATTTAATGCTGACCGGATAAAATTTTTCTGGGCTACTTCTAGAAGTTTTGACGAAGGATATTTCTTGTATATATCCGTGTTATGGGAATGTAACTCGTAACGCTCAAACAAATCTTGCCCTAGCTTAGTTTTGTTCGATTTCAGTAAGGATCACCTAGTTTTAGCGTACATCTGTAAGATATGAGGAAAATACATTAGACTGTAAGATATGATATAAAATGAGACTACGATCAAGAATAAATATTCATCACGAATTACTACAAATTCACAGAAGGTATAAATTGGAGACAATGATATTGTAAATTTTTATATGGATGATAACTACATATGAGAAAATCGACAGATAAAAAGTTTGGAACAAGTTTTGACCCGTAATTTCTGAATTTTAATATCCTGTGAGTAAAATCTTAAATAGTTTAAAATATTAGGGAGAAGAGACTGCTCACCTTTTGGAAAAGATCTTTATCATCAATATACTTGAAAATAGCGATTGACGCTGTCAGCTTAGATTCAATTTCTGAAACAGTCATAGTTTTGACGGATTTACGTAATAAGGAATCCATGTATCGACATAACAATTCAGATGGTCTGTAATTAGTTTGCCTACAAATGTATCCAATAATGGACAAAAATTCTAAACCATTTGAAGCAAGTAGTAATTAAAATTTATAAGATTTATTCAATAGAAAAATACTATATGACTGTCAGATATATTGTACCTTTTGAGAATACATGGATTCATGTAACCTTAATGAAAGAATCTAATATTTATGAACTACATACCAAGCAACAGTAAATTTACTTCTTAAGAAATGTACATAATCTTTATCGACTATTTACTTTTAAAACGATTGGAATATATGGTATATTTTGTTTAGTCAGTATAATTTATGGTATTTCCGATCGTTTTCAAAAGCTTTAGTAACAATCAATTCATTTTCTATTAGGCTTTGGATTTTGCTATTGATGTTTAGGACTACAACTGATCAGTCTCGTATTGGTATTAGTGCATCGTGTGCGGATTGTCTCGATATTGCCTTAAGTGACAAGCATTATCCATCTCTGTTTAGTAACATTTGTTGTAGAATAATTCAGCTTTAATGGTAGAAAAAACGTTTCCCATTTTTCTTATCATTTCTCTATATATTATTGAATAATTATTGATATTATGTAAGTTTGGGTCCGTGATGACTGTTTAGCAGGTGCTAGCAAGATACAGATTAGATTAAAGCATGTTCCGTGTAGGAAAGTGTTGTCGCACGCTGATTGGCTATTTCTTAATCAACCAGCGCCAGAGGAAACTAGAATCTTATGTAAAAACTATAATTATACTAACGTTTTTCTTGTCATGGTCCCTACTTCCATCCAACCTTGTTATTTTAAATATAATTACGTTCGTATTCAGATGTGTTCTGATCTGGAGACTTGTCGAGTGAAGTAGTGTTCAAGACAACTAAGCAATAAGAGTAGCTGGGTCAGTCAGTCAGCTGCAACGTAGGACCAGGCACATATATGCATCGGTCCAAGTTGCCTTATCGCATTAGCACAACAAGATGAACACCGGATTCATAGAAGTGGTTAATTCAGTGGTGGTAATATATAGAAGAAAGATTGTGTATAAGGAAATAGTACAGGAAGAAAGAATTAGTTCCTAGAAAGAAAGATTTGAAGTGATTTTAATCTCTTAGTTTAAAGGAAGACAGAGAGTGTATACACCGATGCCATTGTGATCGATTCTGAGCCATGTCACCAAGAGTCTCCAACCATTGGTTACGATAGTCATGCGGACCCCAACCAAGTAGTCTGCATCTACCAACATGGCTCAGACCAAAAGTTAGTGTTTTCAAGTACTGATGCCACGTTTTGGTTTGGCCGCCCCTAACTTTCTTCCAATCATCCATAACACCGGTTACCATTGCGCGTCGTGGTAATCTGTGTTCAGGCATACGCAGCACGTGGCCCAACCATCTCAGTCGATGAAGATTCACAACCTCATCAACTGATTTACCATCATTCCCTAATACCCTGGGTCTAACCTCACTATTACGTACCCGGTGATCCCAGCAGATACCCGTAATATTTCTAAGGCATCTGTGGTCAAATACTAGTAACTTACGAATATCTTCTACTCTTAAAGGCCATGTTTCGCAGCCGTATAGTAGAACGGAACGAACTGCCGCGCAGTATACTCGTCCCTTAATTGATAGACGGATATCTCGCCTTCGCCATAGATGACGTAAGTTGGCAAAGGCCAAACGAGCTTTTCGAATCCGTGCTGAGATTTCGTCAGACACCAACCCATTAGGGCTGATCAGACTTCCAAGATAAGTGAAATTGTCAACGCGTTCGACTACTTCACTCCCTACCCTTAGTTCAGGTGTTGACGCAGACCAGTCCTGAAGCAACAACTTGCATTTGGAGGGAGAGAAGCGCATCCCAAACATTCTGGCATTGTTGCTCAGTGCTACCAAAAGACTCTGCATTTTATCAGCGTCTTCACCAAACAGGACTATGTCATCTGCGTATTCTAAGTCAATAAGTGGACCTCCTGGTAGGAGATCAATGCCCGAGAATTCAGTCGATGAGAGCGTTATTTCCATCAGTAGATCTATGATGAAGTTAAACAAAAATGGAGAAAGTGGACAGCCTTGGCGGACGCCACTTGAGGTTGCGAAAGCAGATGACAGTTCGCCATAAGCTCTAACTCGACTAGTAGTGTTCGAGTAAAGAGCTTTCACAAGGTCTATATACTTTTGCGGTACGCCTTTCAATGACAGACACTGCCACAGAACCTCTCGGTCTGCGGGGTCAAATGCTGCTTTTAAGTCAAGAAAGACCACCATTGTCGGACGCCGATAAGTATGCCTGTGTTCTTGAACCTGACGAACGGTGAATATGTGGTCTATACATCCACAATCAGGTCTGAAGTCAGCTTGATTCTCCCATGTTTGCAGTTCACGAGTCTTAGTTAGGCGTCCTATAATTATTGAGGCTAGTATTTTAGATGCTATATTAGTCAAACTAATCCCTCTATGGTTGTCACAGAATGATTTTGACCCTGTCTTATATATTGGGACGATAAGTGATTGTGACCAGTTAGATGGGATAACGTCTAACTCCCAGATTTTAGTTAAAATATTAGTCAACCTAATCGCTAAAACTAGACCACCATCCTTAAAGACCTCTGAGGCCGATCCATCTGGACCAGCTGCCCTTCCTCGTTTCAGATTAGCTATAGCCTTTTGAACTTCAGGTAGAGTCGGAGGACCTACTTCAATGTTCCATTCACACTGTCTGGGAATGGAGGGTAGTTGTAGAGTAGCTGAAGACCAACTGAACTGCTCCTTAAAATGTTCCGCCCATCGTTCTAAACGTCTGGACTGGGAGCAGATGAGAGTGTCGTCTTTTTTCTGAAATAGTCTAACTTACACTTGACTTATTAATTCCAGTTTCTTTTATTAGTCTGTAGAGTTGTCTTGTTTTCCCTATAGCCGCCGCCTTTTCCATCTCTATTGCTTTCGTTGCCCACCACTGCTCACGATCGTTCCTTAAACTTTTGCTTAACCTAGATCTGATTTCTTTACGTTCTTCATCGTGTTCAGAACCTGATGGGATGAGTTTGCGAGAATCTATCAGTGCAATAGACCTTGAAGAAATCCATTGGTTCTTTGTAACCATTTGGTTTAAATCACTAGTAGATGTCACTGCTGTTTCCACAGCTGCCTGTATAAGATTCCAAGCAACATCTGGGTCAGCCTTGTTTTCAGAACTACCTAAGTTCGACCTCAGTTGTTCCTGGAACCTACTTTTGGTTTTCTCATTACTCAATTTGGTTCTAATGAGTCTTTTTTGTGTCCAGCGAGGCGCAAGCAGATGCGTGCCCGTATTGGGGCATGGTCGGAGTCCAAGCAGGTACTCCAGAATGAGCGACAATCTTCCATTGACCCTCTCCAACGATGACTGATGGCAATATGGTCTATTTGAGTCCATCGTTGGTTTAGTGCAGGGGGTCGCCATGTTAGACGATGTCTCTCCTTATGCTTAAAATTTGTGTTTGCTAAAAATAAGCGGTTGTTTGAGCAAAGTTGCAGCAGACGATCACCATTATCTGATCTCTGTGCCGGAATACTAAAATACCCACCTAAATGTCTTTGTGTTTCGTTTAAGCTACCTACCTGGGCATTAAAGTCGCCTGCTACGAGTACTATGTCTGAACGTTTAGCTTTCTGAAGAAGTTCAGACAGCTTTCTGTAAAATTCATCTTTCACTTCATCCGAACTGCAGTCAGTGGGAGCGTAGGCAGAAACGACGAAAAGGCAACGACGTGCGTCCTTATCCTCCCGAGTTCTTACGGAGCCGTTTAGCCGAACAGCGCATAGACGACTATTAACGGGGATCCACTCTAATAGCGCTTGTTCCGCCCTCATGCTTAGTGCTATGCCTACACCTGCCAATCCACGAGAACTAGCCATCAGGTCGCCAGATACATGGAGGGTGTATCTCGTCGGCACTCCGTTTTGCCGAGGTGAGGTAAGTGAATGACCACGCTAGGATCCTGTATGTGTCTTTCGGAGACACAGCATATATCAATCGTACGAGATTCTAAGGTTTTAGCCAAGGAAGCCTGCTGACCGATTTGGCATAGTGTGCGTACGTTGAAGGCTCTGATATTTAGTTTGGAGCGAAGTTTCAGTAGACCTGGGACAGTGTTTTGCGCACTAGAATCGTTGGCTACGGTGACACTTGAGGAGGAATTTAGATTTGAAAGTCGATGTAAGAGGAATAATAGGAATTGAAGAGGTAGGTTGATTATGAATACAGTGGTCTTGAGTGCTGTTAGAGATATGAAGGCGGTTATCACTTCCCGGTTGCCCACACCGTGGAAGGGTTCTGCTGGAGGTACCTGAAAAGGAAATTGGATTAGAGGTGGTCACAGTGACCTGAGAGCGTGACCGCAGTGCCCAAAGGACAGCTGCTTGAGGTCGGTCACACACGACCTTTTTATGAGTAATTTTAGTGTTAGCTCCGTACTTGTTGAAACCTTACCGCCAGAGACGGATATCCGTGGGATAAGGCGAGGTGTGCATTTTTAGGGTCGACCTTTTCCAACCCCACCCCTCCTTATGGGAAGGCAGCATCGCTGTCATGCCGGTTGTCTGAAGGAAACACCTTACTGCTGTCACATTTCTGCACAGTCAGCAGTACGACTGCGCCTTCAGACCTTGGTTTTGTTGCTTTTAGTCTTACCGCTCTTCAACTGACCTGTCTGGCATGGTAGGACCTTGAGGAACGGTTGTTCCAGCCAGTATAGCTCAGTTGCTTCATCACGATAGGCAAGCCCGACCACCACGTCAAGGTAGCAACAACGGTCAGGTCGTATAAGAGAATTGATAACAACAGATCAGGGCATTTAAGTTCGATACCATTTTTTGCGGACTTACTAATTGTAAATAGTAGCAATTTTTACACTCCACGTTATTAATGGATCCTTAAGACACTAGTTCTATATTGTTAGGGATGAATTATTTGAAATATACTTTGCTAATGACTTATTGAAAATGACATTTAAAGAACTAACTTTAGAAGACACTACCTGTACTATGGAAAATAAATAGTAGAAATAGAAACAAAGAAGACGATTTTCACAATTGTCGACCATTTATATTAACAAACACATTTTATTAGGCTAGGCTTATGTATTTATGATTATTTTAAAAATTGTGGAGTTTTTAAAATTGCAATGTCACCCAACGAGTAATACAGTTGTATATTACATTAGTCATCAATCAATCATAATCCTATCAGAATTGAATAGTTGAATAAAATTAATGGGAACTAGTTTAGTTTTTTAAATGACCAATCTGTAATTTCGCATTAAACATTAAATATTGAAATCCCGGACCGACTGAAGTTAAATAACCATTGAAAGCATGGGGGCACTGAACGGCTGTTTCACCTTAATATGGAACTATTTAGCAGTGAGCATCCACGACCCCGCAACTTGAACTAAGATGAGACGGATGTCCAGTACTTTCCGTGGTCTTTAACGGTTTTCCAGTTTGGATCCGCTCGTGATTTAAATATACATTCAACAACATCCACAATCTCATATTGACAGTATTAAGTATGATTTACTTTCCAATATGAATTGCTGAGAAAGTAACAAATAAAGCATTAGAACACTTTCCATTAAGATTCGATTTCAATTAGATGGAATGATCAAATACATACCTGTCATGAAACGTGGTTGGATGAATTCAGCAAAAATTAACCTAAAGGTTTATTCACGTGTTTGTTTGTCGCATAATAAAGTTAATGTCAACAATGAGTTCGTGGTGGTCGGTATTCAATATAATCCCTAAACGTCGTATATAGTTCGTCCTAATAACCGTTTCTTGATAACACCCCAACGGTGTATTAATCAGAAGGCGAATATGAAATGTTGATTACGTTTATGATTGCACCACGCACAGATAATCAAAATTACAGGTACGTTAAGCAAGCATGAAAAAGTAGTTTCAAAAAGCAAGCGGACAACCGAGTGAGTGTGCGAGCCGAACGAGCGAGTCGGCGAGTCAATGAACAGGATTAAAATGTATATATATATATATACATAGTGAAATGAATGAATCTCGAACAAATCAAACGACTAACAGTAAGGCTAGCAGAATGAATATATGCGTAGGCAGTAAGTAACGCTGATGCATACATAATCATAGAAACGCAACAATACTAAAGGTACAATGGTATAGATAAGTTGTTATTGTACGGATGACTCTATCCCTTAAATAAGTTAACAAAAGGGCTTAACCGAATTAAATATGAACAAACTTAATTGCACGTGAGTTGCTATAAGTCTAATATATTACTTACTTTAAAAAAGTTTCTACATTCCCTAAGATTTTGATAAAATAGATTTTTTGATCACATGATATTAGTGATAAATTACATCTTTACCGACAGTAGTTGTTTGGATAAAGCATCTGGATTTTTAAAAAATCTCTGTTGATATAAACTATTTTTCTATATGATCAAAAAAACAAATCATAGACAGATGTAATACAGTAGCGTATAAATACTCACCTAGATGTTGTAGCTAGAATACTTGAAGATGGTACACGACCATTCACAGCCAAATTAAAGGCTTTATCCATTTGATTACGGAAAGCAGTTTTCCCATCGAAAACATCATCAATATACTCCAAAAATCTACTTCGGAGATTTAAGAGACTCTCAATAAAATGAACCTGTGTTAGCTTTGTTTCGAAATAAAGTAGAAAATTGAATGTCAATACCAAGTTAAAAAAGGCAATATAAAACTCATTAACTTGGCAGTTAATCGAAGGCCAGTGATGGGACGAAAACAAACGAGATTTTTTCAAGAGCGAAGTCTTATGAACAAACTTCATGAGAGGTGTTGCGTAAGCGAAAGTAGAGAGTGACTGATTGTTGTTTTCAAACCGACTGACTGTTAGATAATCAGACAGGTATCTGAAGTAATATGCATATTTTCCTACCCTTTATGTACATGCGATAAAATCGTTTATTGTTCGTCCTTTACAAACATTTATTGTCTGTAATAATAAACAGCATGCAATCTGCCTGCTAGAACTCTTCAATAACGCTCATCCTAACATTCACTTTACTATGGAGCACGAACAGAACGACATGTTCCACTTTCTTGATGTTGCCATAAAACGTAGGAAAGACGGGACAGTACAACGTTCAGTTTATAGAAAAAGCAATCGGAATGGCCTCTATCTGAATTTCAATAGTTTTTGTCCAATTAGTTACAAGAAGGCACTGGTTAAAACACTATTTGACAGGGTAGAAAAGATATGTACCACCGACAAACTTGAAGAATTAATGAACCTAGAAAAATGTCTAAGAAACAACTTCTATCCACAAAAGTTTATTGACAAATATAAAAAGCCCAAAGAAAACAAGAGGTAAATAACCACGGTCAATAAAAAGACAGTATCTATAAATCTTAACTTTAAAGGTGATAACGTCGCACAAATAATCAGTAGAAGACTGAATATTGCGCTTGCCAGAACTTATCCGGCTGCTAAACTTCTAATTTTCTATAAAACAACATGTTCAATAACTCAATCAAAGGTCGACAAGCACCCCTTTCATGTTACCGCCAACTGTATTTATAAATTTACGTGTACCTGCTAAAGCAGCTACATTGGCCGAACAGAAAGGAGAGCATACCTTAGATTTTTTGAACATGTTCCAAAAAGTCTTAGAACAAGGGAAAGAAGGACTCTGAATAGTGCAATTACCAAACATCTCCTTGATACAGGACATCAGGTAGATACCTTACAATCCTTCAAGGTGATTAGCAAGCAGCCAAACTCCAGTCTTCTGAAGTTTGCTGAAGCCGTTGCCATCAGGCGTCAAAAACCTGACCTATGTGTTCAAAAGGAGATGGTTGTTAATCTTTCTTTGCCTTGGTGACAAATATTCCTTCGCTGCACCATAAATTATTATTATTATTATTTTTGTACTTATTACATCATTGATTTTCATTATTTTTATTTCTTCAACTACGTTTCAAATTAATAATCTTTTAACTAAACTCTACTCACTATATTCCTATCGAAATTTTTACACATTATGTAATCAATTGTTTATAATCCCCTTTTTGAACTGTTGTCACAATTAATGATGTAGAATATTCAGTCTATTAATTTCATTTACACCCTTGCTACACTATATGAATATGTCTTCTGTATAACTTCTAACAAAACCCTCTCATGTAAGTCATTTAAACTCATTATCTAATTATGATTTATAAATATAACAGGTTGTAAGCAGCTGATGAGAACCTACGAAATAAAATGAATTCATGCTATTCTGCTAAAATCTTTGTTCTTACTCTTTTCAAAATGATAAAGGGAACTATGTGTTGGGGATTTGAACGTTATTTTAATGTGACGGTTATAGAGGGATTACAGTAATGTAAGTACGTGGAAAGTTTTCAGCATAATTTTTGTGTAAGGAGTTACGGATTCCATAGACGCTCTAAGTCGAGATTGATAAGGTGGCTTTTATAAGAATGGATAATGTACCAACCAATTTGAGATATAGAGAACTATTATTGAGCAAGTAATGGAATGGGACTCATTACTACATAAAGAATTTTTCTATCATGGAGAAGTATTTAGCAGCATGAATAGGAAAACCTTATAAAATTTCCGACACTATGGAGTACTTCAAAAGATCTTCATTATTATACAAAGCTCCTACAAGAAACTGAATTGTGTGCATCAAAAGCTGCACATGGATGCACTTCAAGTGAAGATTGATGTTAGACAAGGCTCCTTAATCGTGCTTTTTCTCTTTCTGCTAGCTATTGAATGGATTATGAAGACTAGTATATCTCAGAAATAGCATCGAATACAGTAAACACTGTGGACGCTCTGAAAGAGGTAGAAGCCTTTACATACCTGAGAAGCACCACTGTTAACAAAGGTCCTGATGCGCATGTGAAGGTACGAATGTGGGAAACAAAGACGAAACTATTACAATAAAGTAAAATCTAGAATTCAAAAGGACTTTCACGCAATACCAAAGTTAGAATCTTTAGCGCAAACATTAAAACAGTTCTATAAGACGGAACTAAACTACCACAACCATCACCAAAATGTACGGGTATTTATAAACAGCTGTCTACACAAGATACCAAACCAAATACCAAATACATATGCGCCACACGAATCTCAATTGACTTGTGTGAGGGCTGTGATACTGTGAGGGTGCCCAAACCGAAGCAGGACACAAGATACTCCAGACCCACCAGTTAGAAACAAATGGCAATGACCTACTCTGGCAAACAACTACCAGCTGAGCAAACTAGGAAAAGAGTCTAGAAACGGATAGGGAGCATTTTGCGGAAACCATTGATTAAACTGTATTAAAAAGCAAGCCATAAAACAAAATAGTCAAGGGTAAAGTAACCAGACCAAAGGACATGTGGTGTCGGAAACGAGAGACAGATATTAAGATGATGAATAGCAATCGCCAACGACTGGAAACAAAGGCCCAATACACACTTAATTACAGACCTCTGGTCAGTGGCTGATGCTAATATTGTTTCAGGGCTGGTCTTTGTCAAGGCTAGTTGTAGAGAGTGAAGTAATTGAGTACGCTAACCCTGGTGAGTTGGTATCTGACGAAATCTCGGCACAAATTCAGAAAGCCCACTTGGCGTTTGCTAACTTGAGCTAGTTGTTACGCAGGCAGATTGTCTGCCTCCTAATCAAAGAGCATGTAGGCTGGACAATTGTTCGTCCTGTTTATTTTAATCAATTGGCCCAGTGGTCTAGTTGGTTAAGCGCCTGGCGCGAAGCGGGGCCGTGGATGCACACTTTGCCCCCAAATGCCCTGGTATGGCCGAGAGTGGGGAGAGTTTGCTCTCCCTCTCCAAATTCTCTCACATGGCCACGCATATACAGCCTCTGCCAGGCAAGTCCTACTCACTGCCTTCTCGTGGAGGGGTGTTGTTTACGAAAATGAGGAGACGAAAAGCGAATTTCCGGCGCTTTAACCGGATTCAAAACCAATGGTGCACATGGGCTCCAGTATCCTGCCTGAGGGAACAAATGGCGTGTGAACCAATCGTTGGTCGCCGACTGCCATGGGACTGCATCTCCTTACGATGCTCCACTGCCTTGTGGATCAGATCTTCAGGTCGAAGGCTCGGGGTGTGGCCCCCTAAGAAAACCACCTGCTTTGGCTTGAGCACCTGGGCAGTATCACAGCCTTCACATATATCAAATGAGATCCGTGTGGCGCATATGTATTTGGTGCCTCCATGTACCAATATCTATGTGTTAAAATGAATAATAAATAAATTTTAATTATTTATTTGAACACATGAATATTGGTACAAAGGGGCATCAAATACATATGCGCCACACTAGTCACTCGATTTGTGTGTAGGCTGTTATACTGCTCGAGTGCCCAGACTGAAGCAAGTAGTTTTCTTATGGGGCCACACCCGGAACCTTCGACCTAAAGGTCTGATCCATAAGGCAGTGGAGCAACGTCAGAAGATGCATTCCTACAGTAGGCGGTGACCAACAAGAGGTTCATACGCCAGATAAAAGCTGCTGGGTTTGGGTAAACAAGACAGCCGAAATCAGTGGCTGGAGACGTTGGATTATATGGCTCAGAATCTTTGACAATGTGCAGATGCATTTCTTCCTCATTTTCCTGTCAATCTTGAATTCCAGTATCCCTTCATACATACCCTGTCACTCCATTCAATATTTCAAATATTCAGTCTTTCTTACCATTATTATTACTGCATTATATTGATTTATTTTGTCATTTATCTCGATATGTTTATCTTATCGTGTTAATGAGGTAAGGCAACTTGAACCAACACACATCTGTGAAGGGCTATATGTTGACGTCTGTCTGTCAGCGCCAAGAGGGATAACAGGCTTAAGTATACCCCTAGTTATAATAGTCGATGGAAACAAAAATTTTTTAACTTACTGAAGAGTCTTTTGGAAGGTTGGAAACAGCTTCTAAAATACTGGTTCTGACATGTTCACCAAAACAATGTAATAGTTCGTTACAAAGATTATTCGGAGATAGCAACCGAAAAAGATTTCTTAAATCTACAGATGTATTCGAAGTAAATCGATCGAAAGGAAATAAATATGTATATGGAGCGATTTAAAACTAATTAAATACTTAAGCTTTTGAAGTTTATATAAATAATGAATGCAATGTTTTCACCCTAATATAATTATGAGTAAAACCTAGTTAAAAATTCTGGCGAAGGAACGTTATAATCCATAAACAAATAGTCTGTTTTGAAACTAGTTGGTTAGAAATAAGTGGAAAAAGAAAACACTCGATGAAAGCATCAAGATGGTACTGAAAATGAACTCTCCCGCTGCTCAATTGGTTTAAATGTACAAGTGTTTGTTACACCATTCAAAGGTAGATCAATACCCTTCCAATATCACTGCCAATAGGATCTCTGAATTTACATGTGCCTGAGGTAGCAAGTATACAGGAAGGACAGAGATAGGGGCTTCTATTATGTTTTCTGAACATGTCTCTACGAACTTATGCCTAAAGGACAGTAGGTCTTCATAAGTGCAATTGCCAGGAATCTACTAGATAACAGAAGTGGATATAGGAAATGGATTTGAAATAATTAACAGAAGCAACATCAATCTTACTTCATTTTACAGAAGCAATCGCTATTGGATGTTTCCGACCTGACCTATGTGTACAGAAGGAAAGTGTGATTAGCCTTCCTCTGGGATGATGACTAAATGTTAATCAAATAACCTTGATTAATTTTTCAACCCTCTTTTCTTCTTCGAGTTGTTACCTCACATGATCTTATTGATGTTTATATATTAGTTTGATTTTGTTTCTTACCATGTCGAATGATCACACAATTAATTAACGACTTTATTACCCTTACATAAATCCTTGATTATGATTACTGGTCACTACAACACCTAATGTGCATTACTACTTTCCATCATAGAAATACGCATCAATTAGTTTGCAGTAACATTATCCTTTACAAACCAGATATGGTGAACAACTTCGTACAAGAATATAAATTAATGAAGACTGATACTGATGTGTGGGCGAGAATGATCACGATTGGTTGTCTGCTTAGTCAGACATGTAGACAGTCTGACAGTTGTCAGATAAGTTATATATTCCCTTATCCTTATTATTGTGACGCACTTATTATTGATTATTCATTGTCGTGGATTGTGTCGGTTTTTGGTGAGGAAATATATTCACGTTGCGGTCAGGCTAAGTACGTGTTCTTGATCTGAGTTGTGTTGACGTCCTGCAGAATAGACACTGGGAGGGATCTAATATAGATAATCGTTTAAGCGTTATAACATTAGACGAAGTAATACCTTGCGTTATAACAGATACATTCTAAAAAATCATATAGAATAAAAAGCAATCATCACATGAGATGCTACTTAAGATGGATATATATATATATATATATAAACTTGCCAATCAGACTATACAAAAATCGGATTAGAAAGTTGCATGTTAGTGTTTTAAGAACATTTATTTAAAAACCAATTAAAGAACCCTGTTCCACACAACCAAGTAGTATATCTAATCCTTATACATAGGGTGGACCTAATGTCCTGGGATATAAAACTACGTTTAGTGGATTGAAACAGTTATTAATTAACACAAATTTTTATGTAATATGTCAAACCGACGCCAGTGTGCGAGTACAACAACACAACCAAGTTAGGCTAAGCGAACCTTGGAAAACATAAGCCGCATGAGACTCGTAATAAGAGCAAAACGAATGTGGTATTTACTTTTCAGCATAACTAAATACGTACATAATCTATATACCAGAGACAGACTAATATCACAACAAAGTATACACAACATAAATCAACTTATTTGATTGGTTTTATTAGTGGAGTGATTGGGTATAACTATTGCACTTACTTGATTTATCCTCTTCAGCAATAACATAGCGAACGTTCATATTAAGGAAATTTAAACGCTGTTCAACAATTATTTCTTGAAACAAATTTTGCATTGGTAGCAGTGAGCATTTATAATACTGCATAGCCCGATTGTGTTCTTCTGTCCGCAAAGCTAGTGCCTACAAAAATGTTTACAAAACATAAAACTTACATATCTTGCTTATTATTGGTATTTTATCAAATACCAGGATTTTAATGAGGAACAAATAACTGGATTCTCGGATAATTTTACACACAAAACAATAGAATCCGAGACATAATTTTTTGTTAAAGCCAAACGAAACACTCAACTACAATGTAGACGCAAGATGGTGTGATTTTCATTATGTAAAAAAATAGATTACTGAGCCTCATATTGTCCGGCTCAAGTATGTGGCGTGATAATTAAGATGTGGAATTTTCTTGAGAGATAATAAACTAGCTGAAGATGGATATGTCCTATTGGGCTTATCATGTTATAGGAGAAATTATGACCGACTATGTTACCATAAATACACATTTACATGTGTCCCCAAAACTTTAGGCTTACAGGTTAAAGCATGACTTTCAACCAGCTCTGTGGATTAGACTTTCGCTTTATGCAATTCGAATTGGGCAACTACGTAGTATTTATGCTACACTAGAGATGTAATTCAAATCCTGTGATTCGTTACTGATTGGTTTAACAAAGAACAAATCCTTTGAGGTAAATATACACGTAAGGTTATTTATTTATCTGAGCACAAATATTGGTACAAAGGGGCATCGAATACATATGTGCCACACTAGTCACTCGATTTGTCTGTGGGCTGTGATACTATCCGGGTGCCCAAACCGAAACAGGTGGTTTTCTTAGGGGGCCACACCCGGGGCCTTCGAACTAAAGATTTGATCCACAAGGCAGTAAAGCAACGTCAGGAGATGCAGTCACATGGTAGCCGGTGACTAATAATATTTGATATAAAGGTTTATCCACCGACTAATTGAGTCCAGTAATCAAAAGCTATGGAAACAAAATATGAAAAGCATATGGCCTTAATTATTGAGATCGTTAAGTCGTGTTATCATATATGCGGAGAGAATATATAAGTCAATATAAGACTGTACCGCCAGTAAACAAATAATTGACTTTAACTGCAAAACTTCTAAATGTGAAACACACGAACACGATAAACATTTTGAATTGTGACATACCTCAGTCACATACTGAGCACATCCTAATTCCGACTCCCGTTGACATGCCCATTGCGAGTAAAATGACCGCGTAGCGTCAATCAGAGGGTTCTGAAATATTTGGTTGTATATTTCCATTCCAGCCTTTTAAATAATGAGGGAACAAAAGTATTAGCACTACTAGTGCATTGGACAAAGATAATGGAGAAATAGTTTAATAAAAACGGTAATAGACATGGATTAGTACGAATAGTAACAGAATATACACAAAAGTAGTGGATACGTGTGGTGCTAAGGGTTGTGTCAACACAAGGTTATTTATTATGAAGAGAGTATTCACTGATCAAAACAATTCGTATTTCCTAGTTAACACATGCGAAAGAAAAAGGAGCGGCTACGAAAAATTTAAACGTGTTCCTTAACATACAAAGATCAAAAAACAGGGTCACAATGCAAATCTTGTCTGTCGTATTTTGCTTACTCTTTCAAAATCCCTTACTTCTCCAACTCTTAAAAGGGAAGCCAGACATGGATGTATGCAATTCTGTTGTCCACAAATTCCCAATCTGTCGCTATTTGAAGTTTAGAAATAAAAAGATGGAACTCACTTGAGAACTTCGCGCATCAAGCAAGAGGACAATCGACTTTTCATACAATCGATTAGATATAGTCTCCAGAAAGCAAGGCCGACCTCCAGAATTTCCATAGTATGCTGATCTGCCATAGGAAGTGCTGCTCCATAGCACATATCGGCTTCTGATGGCCTTAAATTCTTCACGTGCTGCGTGTTCATATATCTGAGTTAACATTAAGCATTAGGGACTTTAAAAATTCACCTATAAAGGATATCTAGATATGTAAGTCCGCGATGATATGACTCCCAAAACTTGACATATCTAGGAAGTAAATCAGAGTCACTCATGACTTCCAACTCTGATGCTATTTCTTCTACCCTCTCGCTAATGAGTGTTGTAGTAGATTTATACAAAGTAGATGCATGAGAAACAGGACTTGAAGTACATAAGCTGTAAACATAGCCGAAACTAGAATTCCACAAATCCCTGTCAACAAAATCGCACCGAAGAAGTTTATATACTACATCTTTTAGTGAACCCCACGTGACAGGAAAGTCCACAGACACTGCACGTAACATATCTGAAAGACTTTGAGAATAAAACTAGGTAGCCCTAGGCTTAATAGTAGAACGGAAAATCATCGTAAACATTATGTACAAACTATCCGCCTTCAAGCTTCAGTAGTCAGTAATAAGAATAGTATGTCGATGGAACGGTTTTGATACTTGCAGCCTGTTTTCCAGAGAATGTTCAGATTCCCCTAGAAATCGTTCGCTGGTGGGGCAGATGCTACCTGTTTACGTAAGGCGTTACGGGTACTGACTACTTCGTGAGAAAAACGGAATCCCGCTCTGAGTTTATGAGATCGCTTTTTTGAGCCGTCTTCCTGAGGCCTCAGGGACGATTAGTTCTTCAGGGAGAGAAAGGATTCGACATATAAATATTCAGATCGTTATTGAAAGTGCGGAATGCCAACACAAGGTGACCTCGTGTTTCATGATAGAATAAGAGGAAAAGAATAAGACGTTTTAAGCGCTCATCGTTAGAAACTTTGTAAAGACTTTCCACTAATTTTGTTCCCATATCCTGAACACTTTCGAGTCTGTTAGTATCTTTAACAAAACGTGAACTTTATGTTTGGCAACAGTACTCTAGTGTAGTCTTACTTAGATGGAATATAAAATACGAAACATCTCGTCAAAGCATTAGAACGTTCAGAGAAGTAACCACAACACCGAAAAACCCTTGAGGAAGGCTGTGTTGAAACAAGAAATTGTTTTTAAACTAGTTTCAAATAGTTTGGAACGAAGTAGGAGAAGCCTTCATTTAACGGGCTCCCATATCTAATAGCAGCAGATCACCGATTCCTCCAGGTAGCAACCTAGGTATACTTGATGATGAAATAGAAAAAAGTTAATTGTGGAAAAAAACTGTCCCTATTCCTTAAGTACATTTCACGCTTCCTCTTAAAGGACTATCAGGAACTCGATTGGACTATCTCAGCCGGTAGTGAATTCGAACATTTAACTACTCTTAAGGAATACAATTCTACAGTACGTCCTGCCGTGTTGTGTCTTCAATTTCTCTGTTTTTCTCCCAAGGTTTGTGTTGAGACTGAGCCTACGTATGCTTTTAAGAGTATACACAAGAGTGGTCAGGATGTTATTGGTCGTAGAATGTCATCTCTGAGACACCTATGCTCTAATGTCTAAAAGTCCAGTGATCAGAGGCGCTCTTCATAAGGTTTGAATTTCAGTTCCCCAACTGATTTTGTGGCTCGCCGCTGAATGATTTGTGGTGTACTCCTATCCTTTTTGAGTGAGGGAAGAAACACTATATTTTCATACCCTAGACGGGATTGGGTAGAACTGTCGAATTGGCTAAAAATGCATTTTGAGGTTTGCTCAAAAGGCATTTTCGTCAGATCATAGGGTGCCAGAACTGCTCATGACTTACTGCTCCTTCCAAGTCTTCATGTTTCTGAACACATGGAAGCAGAGATTATCAGCCTCACTACTCATTGTTTTCCAGTCCTTAAAATCATCTCAAAACAGCACGACAGACTTTACCAGTTCTGAGAAGTCTTAGGGTCACTACTACCCCGCTAGGGTGGGAGTGATCTGTAGCGGTAAATAAATCCCCCCAAAAAATAACTCTGTAAGTTTTCAACATTGGATGCTGACCACATTTTTGATGGGCTCATTTATTTGAATGCGCTCGGTCATGCATCCGCACCAGATCACGTGTGGGAACGCCGTGCTCAACATCTGCCGCAATCGCTAGCCAGATTAGTTCAGACGGTCCTCGATATATTGATAGCTCATCAAATATATCTTCGGACCTCCTCGCTTCTGTCTTTTGATTTCACTTGGTGGGTACGCTTCATATTAGAAGGTGTTACTGGTTAAAGCGTCGTCAAACTCCGAATACCTGTGGCATCTTCAGTAATGCTGTGCCCTGAAGTTCATTTACTAAAGCTGGCACCTGTTCATGTAAAGTTCCATTCAACGTCACTCTCTGTCTCCGGCTACAGAACAAGCTTTTGTCCACTCTTCTGTGGCACCTGTTATTCCAAAGCTCGAGAACTTCTGCATACGGTCTGGATTTAAATCCTTATCAAATGTTTCCCTGTAAATATATGGCTATTGAATTAACAGACAATGCGTTACATTGGGCTGCTATCTGATCCTCTCTGGCACTTGATAGCTTTGTTAAACATGAATGCTTATTTCGAAACCATTGCTGCTTAGTAGTGGCAGGTTGTATCATTCTGCGTGACTGAGTAACTTAACCTGATTTCTTTTTTCAATTAACTTAACTTACTTTTAAATGTTATTCATTTTCGTCTATCACTGAAGTGTGACAGCTGAAGATATCCTGATTTTTTCTTAAGTAACACTGGAAAGCCCTTTTCGAACATTCATTAACTACGTTTTGACGATTTTCCAAAGTACAACAATCATCTAGTTCATCTCGTTTCTTCCAGGGCTAGACAACAACACATTAGGAGGGAAAAATTTTGAACAAAATATTTTTACCAGCCTACGTACATACGTAATTTGAGTTATATATTTTGATAGCACGAAGTTTAGGGTTAATAGGATTTGGAGGTAAATTAGATTGTGGCGTTACTTCACCATTCATATGACGAAGTTCAATTTATCAAAGCTCAGGAAAACACTTTCAAAAACCAAAAGAAAGCCTAGACATCACTCTGGAAAAGTCGCGAAAGTATTAAAACATTCCAGAAACCCAGAGAAGAACGCCTTTGATTGCTTGATAAACGCTTCAATGTAAGTTTTTTGCACTTATACTCTGTAAATTAGAGGTTTCGATTTCTGAATGAGAAGTTGTATACTAGCACAAGTGAAGAAGCAGCTGCCATTTTTAAGGAGGATCCTGAATCATTCGAAATATACCATGAAGGTTATCAACGCCAACTTTCCCAGTGGCCTCAAGATCCTCTCATCTGGGTCAAGAGTAAAATTTTCGAAGAATGTTCAAATTTAATGGCAAACTACAAAGTAGCTGATCTTGGTTGTGGTGATGGAAGATTAAGTCAATTATTACCCAGTAATTACGAAGTGTACTCTTTTGATCTTGTCTCTGTAAACGAACGTGTCATTGCTTGTGATATGGCTCATGTAAGTCGTATCGTTATATACAGTGTAATTTATCGATATTTATGAGAATTTGTCCGTTGTTTACTATGCTCGCGTTCTTTTCCAAATTCCCCTGGCACTTCCATAATCGATTTTTCTTTTGTGATAACTCAGTTGATTTGTAATATGTATAGGTTGTTCCCAAAGTTGTTTGCATATGCAACAACTCAGTCAGATAGTAACGTGACCTAAAAAAACCTGCCGTTGCGCAAATGATTTTATCCTGGTGTCCGGGTACTTGGTTTATTCTTATTCGTTATTTAGCTCCCTGGATCTTTGTAACCTAATGGAAGTTCTCATTCCTCCACTCAGTTAAAAATCATTGGTATGAGGTCAAATAACAATATTCGGTTCTCCAAATAAAATATGGTTGGATGTAAGTCCAAAACGGTACTTTAGTTTTCAAAATCACATTTGTGGTCGTCCAATGTACTGTGTTAACAAACGATGCATTCAGGTTGTATATTAGTTTGACAAAAATGGTTTCTGTATGTTAAATGTTTTACTTAGAAACCGTGCAAATTACAAAGTTGTGGTTCAGCTAGGAAAACGTGTTAGCGGGACATAGATTGGATTAAAGCATGCTTAATGCACGACTGCTTTGGTGCACGCTGATTGGCTAATTCTTGCCCAATCAGCGCTAGTCGATACTTGGAGAATACTCTAGCAATATTCTCATGTAAAAACTATAAATATACTAACGTTTTTCCTATTGTGCTTCTTGCTTCCATCTTATCTTGTTATTTGGAATATAATCTCTTTCCTGTTCAACCGTGTTCGGATTTGGGGACTTGTCGAGTGAATCTGTGTCCGAGAATAATAAGCAATATGAATACCTGGTTTATAACCGTAAGAGAGAATTATAACAAAACCAATGTAAAATTTTGAAATCATTTATGTGTGATTATGAGTATTCGATATATTAATGCATGTACTAGCTCGGGTGTAAAAGTTCTAAGCAAGAAAAATGCACAGAAATATTGCTCAGAGTAAGTAAAACAGAATTTTAGGGTTGTCAGTACGTTTACTAAGTTAGTTTAATTAAAGCTCTGCCAAATTCTTTCCAGCTGGTCTTATTTATTATCTAGTCTGACCTTTAGGGGTGAAACAATTAGAAAAGTTGATGACCATGCGTTTCCGAAGTCTTATCAATGCTGTCCGGTTTTTAGGTGACAAAATGTTTTCACGGATAAGGAATGCTCACTTAGAATTTGCCAACCTGTCGTAGGTGAGCTGCCCGTCTCCCAACCACCGAGACATTGTACTATTTAGGCATCAGTCCTATTTTACTTCGTGGCTTTGAAACAATCTATAGAAGTTCATTGTTTCAATGTAACTCATCTACCAACAGCAAACTTACTTTGCTGGCTTTAGAGCAAACTATTTGTGTCAGAATTAATTACACTGTTCGGCTTATAGGCTGAAATAAATCGATCAGGGTTCGCAACTCACTGGTCGGAACTAAATGTCGTGATCCTGAACAGACTACTGGCGAGACTCTAATTTAGGGACGACCTTTGAACGAATTTTAAGTGACCTTGAGAATATTAGACAATCAGAAGACAGCTGGTATAACGTAGAAATTTATTAGAAGAAACTAATGGATTACAGTGAATATACTTCTTTTACATGATTTAAAAACTTATCAAGGTTTGCTTAAGTTTCAGATGTTTTGTAATCATATTGCATACGGTATAAAAAGTCAGAAATTCCAAGTACCTGTCGAGTATATTTACGGAAATGCTACTTACACAATCCTACTTTATACTACGTCCCCTGTTGTATTTTCGCTTTCTCACTGCCGTTTCATCTGTCTGCACCATACATCCTACTCCTCCGAATGATTGGTGTATAGGTGTTATTTTAGTTGCACATATGTCACGGCAGTACTTATACCACTGGACTGCTGAGGTTTCATAAACAACTGCAAGCGCCGCATCCAGTATTACTGGTGTATTTATTATCCAAGTTGCAACTATTATCATAATCTGATTCAGTTTCAGTAGCAATCGAGCAAAGAAAGTCTTCGTTTTAGCAGACTTTCTCCTCCAACATGAAGGACAACGAAATATAATCTCACCACGGTGGTTTGCACACTTTACTGCGGTCATTTGATAAACGCAGTCTCACGTACAAGAACTTTTTAGTAATCCCATCCCTTGTAGCCTCTCAGTAATCACCCCTTCTCTAAAATCCGCTGTAAACCGATCATATGTGAGCATCAGGTGTTAAACTTTGCTCCGTGACCTTGAAACGGCTCACACGCTTCTGATTGGCTCGTCCCTAAATTAGAGTCTCGCCGACTACTCCACCAAACGAAGAGGATTTACGTAAGTTGCAAGGATGTGATAATAGTTTTTTTGAAGGATTTATAGCATGTGATAGAAACACGGATTGAGTAATACTGAAGGTAGGTGTTTAATGAAAAAGATCCAATCCAGTTCATGAGGCTATAAACTTCTACCATTCAAGACAGTTAGGCGTTAAGCTTGCTAGCCACCATCAACCCCAGTCAGCATTGTTGATGCCCCCAAATGCCCTGGTATGGCCGAGAGTGGGGAGAGTTTGCTCTCCCTTTCCGAATTCTCTCACATGGCCACTCATATACAGCCTCTGCCAGGCAAGTCCTACTCACTGCCTTCTCGTGGAGGGGTGTTGTTTACGAAAATGAGGAGACGAAAAGCGAATTTCCGGCGCTTTAACCGGATTCAAAACCAATGGGGCACATGGGCTCCAGTATCCTGCCTGAGGGAACAAATGGCGTGTGAACCAATCGTTGGTCGCCGACTGCCATGGGACTGCATCTCCTTACGATGCTCCATTGCCTTGTGGATCAGATCTTCAGGTCGAAGGCTCGGGGTGTGGCCCCCTAAGAAAACCACCTGCTTTGGCTTGAGCACCTGGGCAGTATCACAGCCTTCACATATATCAAATGAGATCCGTGTGGCGCATATGTATTTGGTGCCTCCATGTACCAATATCTATGTGTTAAAATAAATAAATAAATAAGCATTGTTGATGGGATAGGAGAGTTGGTTCGAAGCAAACTCAAAGTGGTGCTCGAAACAGTTCATAGGGTCGGTATCTGAGACCATTGATTTTTGGCTTGAGCCGTGTTGTTTTATGTAAACAATTTCTCCAAGGTTCATAAGTTAATATCAGTTAATAGTCGTCGATCTTATGTAGCATAATTTGAGATAGATCACGATGTCCCAGATGCGCTCATCCGTAGCGTTAACCCATGTTTAGAGTTTAAACACTATTTCATACTTTTATTCTCCTTATTCATTCTTCATATTAAATTTTTATAACTGCCATTACCACTATTATTATTCTGACTTGTTTATTATACGTATTGTTAATTTTATCTCAGTTTTCTTATATGATGCGGTAACTTGAGCTGATATCTGTTTGTACTTAGTTTTACATTATGTATGACCGACCCTCAATTTTTAGGTAAGTTGATAAATTTTAACTAAAAAATACAATCGAACCTCCATGCTTATAGAACTCTATCCGCTCAGGTGAATGCAACTGCCTGGTTACTAAGGGATTTTCAGGCTACTAGTATGCTAACTCAAGTTCCAAGTTATTGACGAAAACACGACTTTCAACTAGTAATTTTCGGAGTCGAACTACTCTCTAGTCATTCCATTTTGCATATCTAAATAGTTTCACTGGCACCTTGACTTCCAATGTGGTTCAAACCCTAGTTGGTAAGGTGTTATTACCAAGATTTGATTTGATAATTTCTAATAAATTGAACAATGGGTAAATTGTTATAAATAAATAATATATTTGTAATATCCCAATAAGTAGAAAACGTAAATTATCTTACGTTTCATGACTCAGTGTAAGCCACTTCAGAGTAAGTAAAGCCGTACTTTGTAAATGATTTACAAAGATTTTTCGCACATATCCCAACCTACATACTGACTTCCATCACAATACTAGTGTGTTGAGTGATGGTCTAACTTTTCGACGTTCAACCCAAATTTTTTTTCAAAATGAATCTACACTAGTATACTTCCTCTTCGTTTTAGAATCTTAGATATGTACACATCTGTCGTTTTCTTTGTTGAAAATGCAGTTAAAATCACTTTCTACGATACTTGATATACAAAGACATAGATTAATAGACGAAGCTTTCTAAGAAGTTCTTCACTGAGACTTTAATTTGTAATGCACATATTTGTTTTTACTAATCTGATTGCAAATAAAGATAAGACAATTGATTTCCGCTTTTTATAGACACCTCTTAAAAACAACGAAGTTGATATTGCAGTGTTTTGCTTATCTTTGATGGGAACCAATTGTTCAGAATTCTTGTATGAAGCGAATCGCATTTTGAAATCTGGGTAAGCTGTTAGATGTACTAATTCAACTTTGAAATGAGACTGCTCTAAAAATCTTTTCATAGAATTATATGGTATACGTGCTCACGTAGTCAGTTTTTAATCGGTATAACCCAACTCATGAAATCTCAAAATCTGGAATGATGGGTTTTTAAAAAAAGTGGAATAAAGGCAATACCACACAGCTTCTACCCAATAACATGGAGGTTTGAGCCCCACTTCACCCAATTTAGTTTTGTGAGCTATCAAGTAATATTAGAACCGTTAGTTCATTAGGTTTGGATGAAATTCGAACACAAGAACACCTACTTGCAACGTAATTATATCGCCACCAAATTCCCTGGTACGGCCGAGAGTTGGGAGAGTCAACTCTCCCTCTCAAAATCCTTCCACATAGCCACGTGCATACAACCACTGTCAAGGATTTCCTACTCACTGCCTCGTGGATCAGACCTTTAGGTCGAAGATTCGGGGTGTGACTCCTTAAGAAAACCACCTGCTTCAGTTTGGGCACCCTGGCAGTATCCTATCCCTCACACAAATCGAATAATTTGTGTAGCGCATATGTATTTGGTGCCTTCTTGTACCGATGTTTATGTGTTTAAATAAATAAATAATTATATCAGTTTTATAATATTTGTTTCACAAATACATTTGAGTGCTCTGGGAGCTAGTTGGTTATGATCTTCTTGATAGTCCTGATGTAATTGAGAACGTTAAACCAAAAAAGTAAATTTTCTATTTGGCCAGACCAGACTTATACCACTAGTCTATAATTATGTCAAACTTTGACACTTTTAGTCGAGTTGAACCCCACAATATTCAGTATCTCTCACTTTCGTTAAGTTTTATTTACTTTTCTGGAAAATTTTACACTAGTAACCGGATATCGTTTGACGGGTAATTTAGCTTTCAAAGCAGTTTTTCTTCCGGCATGTGATGCGTAGTTAAAGACATTTCTTCATGATTATTTATTTTGAAGGTATCGGGAATATAACGAGACTGTATAAAAATCATTTTGTATTCGAAATCCTATTATTTTCGTTTAGAAGCTTTAATATAACACATAGATATGACAAAAATGGTTATCTCTATTTGTTTATTTGCTTCATGTTGGGAAGTGTATGTTTCTTGCTGAAGGCAGTCAGGTGGAATCCCGTGACCAAAGTTACATTTTACTCACCATTTTGCTTCGGGATTTCGAAAAATAAGTGCATATTAAACAAGAAAATATAAGAGAGCTTTGTATACAAGAATATAGTTGAAAAATTTTCATTGTGGCTAATCTGTTTGGTTTATGATGTGACCACTAATTCTTATTCTTCACATTAGTTGAGCTCATTGATTGATCAAATTTCTTCACTTGGAATTAACTTCTCGTAATCTTTTGTTTACAACTTCTTTTTAGTGGTATTCTGATAATCGTTGATGTAACTAGCAGATTCGATGGAAAATTCAATGATTTTTTGAAAAAGTTAAAGCATTATGGGTTCGCTAAACAATTTTCAGAGATAACTAGTGATACGTACTTTGTTCGTGCTCTTCTTCGCAAATCATCTTCTTGTTCCTCAGAGCTTGTGCACAGTTTACCGAAACTAAACCTGAAACCATGCTCCTATAAGAAAAGATGATTAATATTTGTTTTTTTGTAAATTATTTCTTTAAATATACACGTATCAATTAGAGTTCAACTTTTCAACGTATTTAATTGTGTTTATTCGACCCATGTGAAAATGTTTACTTTCAGAGCTTTGGCATTGTTTCCTTTTTAATTCATGGAAACTATCATTGCTCACGTTCGTGAAGGGAATCTTCATGAAGTAAAATTATGGTTAGATGATATAGAAAACGATGTAAATCAAGGCGACGAACATCGGTTCAGCCTGTTACATTGGGCTGCACGTGAAGGACAAAGAAATATAGTTGATTTATTAGTTATTCGTGGAGCTCGTATTAACGCTACAAATATGGGTGATGATACAGCTTTACATTTAGCCGCAGCTCATGGACATTTTGATGTTGTACACTATTTGTTAAATTCTCACCGACTAAATGTGGATGCTGCAAATGAACATGGTAATACAGCTTTACACTATGCTTGTTTTTGGAATCATTTAGAAATTGCTGAAGTGAGTCTTGTTGTTTAATTTATGAAAATATGTTTAAATTCTTGTAGTGTTTCTGAGTTAGTCGAAAATAGAACGTATCTAGGCAAGAAGTGATCCCAGCTTCACTCTGACTTCTACTCTATTATCTACTAAATGCAATTTTCATTCGGAACCTCAACACGTAAAGATACATCCACCTTAACTCTTTACAGATAGGATGTAACTATTATCCAGCATTTTAGTGTTAATCTTTGCCAACCTGTATCACTGTAGATGCAAGCGTTTTAAACAGTTTATTTCAAACATTAATTTTTTCATTTATACTTCACGATGTACTACTTTGTGGTTGGGTTTATATCTACCTAGTCGATGTTGAGAGTTATAGTACTGGATTAGTCTTACCCCAAATACTGCATCATAAATGTATCACCGATATATTTCGTCTGTGTTACTCCCAAACTTTAAATTGGTAATCTATCAAATGGAAAGTTACTCCTTTATTCAGTTCAGTTAACTTAGTTTTAGCGATCCTGTTCATATAGCGAATGTATCAAGTTATAAATATCATTCGTGTAAGCATAATTTAAAGATTTTATGTTCATGACATGTACATGTAAGCAACAAACACAAGGTTTACAAAAGCTAGTGCATTCTCAACGAATGTTTTGTGATTCATATTTAATAATTTATGTTAAAATTTTGTATCAAATAGATTCTGATAAATTTTTATACGTGAGTATAAATTTTGTTTCGTAAGATTATATTAGAATCATCATACACTAAATTGTTTTACTTTCATCTCTGACATATATCCATTTAGAAATAAAAGGTGAACTAGGCATTGGTTTAAGAGGCAAATCCTATTACATGGTCCAAAATGTCATATCATAAAGGGTAGCTTACTTATTTGTGTAACTACGGTCAGTCAGTAACAATGTGGAACTTCGTACGTACGTACATCGGTTCGACTTGTCATACCACATTAGCACAGATATGCAGTTGTCGATTCAAATCCCGTAGTGGTAGAGTTGGTACGAGTATAAGCAGTAATCGGAAAGATTAGGGTTTGAAGATGTTATTCAAGGAGTATAATACAGCAAAATAAATCTGGAAATAGAAAAAAAGGGACATGAAGAATTCAGAAGATTAGACTTTGGGAGAACACAAAGAGTGGATACACCTGCGCCATTGCAAACGATTTTGAGTCATGTCATTCAAGATCTCTAACCATCGGTTGCTATCGTCTCGCGGACCCCAACCAGGTATTCTACACCTACCAACATGGCTCAGTCCACTTGTCAGTGACTTCATGGGTTTGTGCTATGTCTTGGCCTGGCCGCCCCTAGCTTTCTTCTAACCTACTCCTACATCACTGAACATCGCACGTCGGTGCAGTCGGTGGTTGGGCATACGTAACACATGTCCCAGCCATCTCAACTGACGAAGTTTCACTACCTCATCAATTGATTTACCATCCTTATCCAGTAACCGGTTTCCTAACAACTGCATTACTTACTCGGTGGTCCCAGGATACACGAGAATGCTTCGTAGATACCTATGATCGAATATTAGTAACCTACGAATATCCTCTCTCTTATCGGCCATGTCTCACTGCCATAAAGTACGACGGAACGAACTGCTGCGCAGGAAACACGTCCTCTGGTTGATAGACGGATATCTCGCCTACGCCATAAATGACGCAAGTTGGCAAAAGCTAGTCGAACCTTCTGTATCCGTGCTGAGATTTCGTCACACACCAGACCAAAAGGGCTGATGAGACGTGGCCGCAGAGCCCAAAGTACAACTGCTTGAGGCCGGTTGCTCACGGCCTTTTTGTGGGAGGTTTTTAGTGTGTTAGCTCCGTTATCCAAAGGACCTTTCCTCGTAGATGGAAATCCGTGGGGTAAGGTGAGGTGTGACATCTTTAGAGTCGACCTTTTCTAACCCCTTTCTTCCTTGTGAGAAGACAGCATCGCTGCAGATGCTGGTTGTCTGAGGGAAACACCTTACTGCTGACACACGCCTCTACAATCAGGAGTACGACTTCGCCCTCGGACCTTGAATTGCAGCCTTTAGTCTTACCGTTCTCCAACCGATCTGCCTGGCATGGTTAAACCTACAGGAACATATGTTCCAGACAATATAGCTCGGTTGGATCATCACGATATGCAAACCCGACCACCACGTCAAGGTAGCAGCTACGGACGGGAGTGTAACTACAATGGATTAATTTAAATGGTTCGTTTCCAACTATCTTATCACCGGCACATTTATTTAAGTGTGAACAGCATGACATCATTGTTGGTTTTCTCACAATTGGTTTGTTTTCTAGATCAATATATAAACTTACATTTAGCTGCTAAATTGCTGTGTAATCAAATATATTTTTGAATTTCCACTAGTAATTGAATCCAGGATGTGCGTTTTGTACTTGTGTTTATTTATTTATTTATTTGAACACATAAATATTGGTACAAGAGGGCACCAAATATATATGCGCCACACAAAACAATGAGAATTAGAAGAGAAGAGAAAAACAAAAAAAGAGGAGGGTAAGGAGCGTAATAAAAGAACAATAACGAACAGATTAGTGTAAGGTAGTATAATAATAATAATAATAATAATAATAATAATAATAATTATTATTATTATTATTATTATTGTTGTTATTATTATTATTATGTGTACTTGTGTCCTAACGTCATGATGCTCACACTGAGACTCAAATCCGCTATCTATAGCCTTGAACAGCAACGCACTATTCACTAAGGCACTGTGTTTATATAACCGTTAACTCAGGATGTGTGAATGTATTTGTAAGAGTTTGGATTACGTTGCTAGTAACAATCCACAAAATATACCAAACCATGCATATATAGAACTTATTGAGGGAATTTCTCGTGATGTAGACATGCCAATAGAAACTAATCATATGGAGTCCTGAACATCAACAAGAAGATACTACATCTTGTTACAAGTGTGATTAATTCACGTTATTCCCGTACTAAGGTATGTGATTTTTAGTAACCTTCAACCAACTATTCGCTCAACTGGAAAAGTGGGGAAACCAGAAGCAGAGACTTTAAAGTCCGAGATTTGTGTTGTAGTGATGGTTCTGTCAATATGAAGCACCAGAAACCAATCTCCCCGAATAATTAATAGCTCATCTCACCAGAGATTGAAGGAGTTAGAAATTATCGTCCCTAACAACAGCTACCCTCATTTTCACTTAAATTCAGTGCTATTGGATTATAAATTGCTAATATAAAGTGGTGTATGACCAGCTAATAACGTTTTAAGGTGGTTGGGGTAATCGATAATGATCCCTTTCTTTTTTCACGCTTTTCTTGAGAGAAAAGTATGTACTTTCTGGGAAGAAATTATTGACATGTATTGCATTGTTGTGCGACGTTAATAAACTGTATTATTGATCTCCGGATAAATATGCATCTGTGTTCACCACCTGCACATTAAACAATTACAGGTTAAACTGTATGAAAGGAGTAATTCTCCAGTTAACCATTTACTCTGATAAAAAATTTATAAACAGTCATTTTATCTGTCAATCTTAGTTCTCAAATAAGCAAGCCGAATTTGTGGATATTGGTGGTAACTTTGAAATATTTCACATGTGTAAGCTGACTACCATTTATTTCATAGTCACATCAGTTACCTGCAATCATTTAGCATCACTACTTCTTGTGCGTTTCGGCTTATATTGTAAACCTAAATAATCGCACTACTTAAAGTAGGCAGACTTAGATAGTTAGGTTATCCTGATTCGGAGTCGCATCACTAGAAATTGTCTTTGAGATTTCCGGTGAAGTGTGTTTAATTCACTGAAAACAGGATTGTTTATTTGGTTTTGAGTTAGAATCCCCATGTATTTTTTTATTGATGCTTAGAAATTCGGTTGCCCAAGAGCATCTATAGAATTGTTAGAGGTCTTCCTTTTGACCCTAGGTTTATTGATTCCTCATAATTTTCTAAAAGTATTCGATTAGTTAATACCTTACGTAATCATATCTTCGATGCCTAACCTTTTCTATTACCTCTACTACTCTGTGATTTACCCTGACAATCTCACCTCGCTATGTCGATGTAGTATGCCAACTTGAAACGATGTATACGCGTACCAGGTTGTACATGGCGTGTGACTGGTCAATTGTTCAAAATAAGAACAGAATTCTAGGGTGTCGTTGAATGGACTGCTATTTGGTCGCTTTAATCTCTAAGCCATAAAATTTTGTGGCTTGAATCCAAAAACGAGATCAGCTACTTAGTAAACAAATACCATAGTATTAAAAGGTTAAAATTAGTGAAGTTAGATAGTAGCAAAAAATATGTTGTAACACTGTATCCAATTCTTAGTCATTCAGCCATGATTAACCCATAACCTGAAAGTTTGAATATACGAGGAACTGTTTTATCGAAACTTAATTACGTACACCTGTTACCCGTGATGGAGGAGTATAGACCACGCACCAGGATTTTCTAACCAGCTCTGTCCTGGGCTCTCCTCCACACTTGTTTCCAAGTACTATTCATTCTTTTGATGTCTGCCTCGAATCCCCGACTCAATGTGTTCTTGGGCCTTCTTTTCCTTTTCCATTCACTACTTCCAGTTAGGACATGACTCGGGATGCACTCTGATGATTTCCTCAATGTATGTACTATTCACTTCCAGTGTCTTTTCCTAATTTCCTCTTCGGTTGGGAGTTGGTTTGTTCTCTTCCACTGTAGGTTGTTGCTGGTGGTTTCTGGCCAACGGACATTGAGTATCTTATATAGACAATTGTTTAGTAATACGTGTACATTTTTATGGTGGTCTTAGTGGTTCTAGAAGTTTCGTTTCCGTACATGAGAACTGTTTTGACGTTTGTATTGAATATTCTGACTGATAGTTGTTTTGGGTTTGATATGTTTCTTGAATGTAGGAATGCTTCCCTCACTTTTCCAATTCTTACGTTTACATCTGTATCAGATCCTCCTTATTTATCAATCATGCTGCTCAGATACATGAATTCTTCACCTCTTCCAGTGCCTTTGCATCAAGGGTGATTGAGTTGGTGTTGACTGTGTTGTATTTGAGTACCTTGCTTTTCCCTTGTGTATGTTGTGGTTTACTGCTGCAAAAACTGTTGCTACAGTGGCTATCTTCATCTGCATTTGTCGTTGTGCATGGGATGGAAGAGCTAGGTCATCTGTGAAGTCTAAATCGTCTAGTTGCATCCAAGCTATCCACTATGTTATGTGTTTCACTTGAGATGCGGAGATTTTCATAATCCATTTAAGCACCAGATGGAAGATGAAAGACGAGAGCAGACAGTGTTGTCTGTGACATATATTGATTGTTGCTCTAGTTTGCAGAAAGGCCATCGACCTCATTATTTCGTAAAAATATCGACGTTCACTATGAGGCATCACGACTATGAAGATCCTATAAATCACAGGGCAGAGTTCAAATGGTTTAGAAATACTAATTTTGGTTAGGGTTTTTTAGCAATGTCGTTTTTTACGGCTTGGGATTGCTGACTCCACGGCAAACCTTCCTCTTTTATTCAGGCTAGGGACATGAAGCAACCCTAGAAGTTCTCCAGTGCGGTTCGGGAATTAAGGATGCCCGATTTTAAAAAGAAGACACACTGATTATAGGGTGAGTTACATGAAGGAACTAGGTCACCTAAAAAGCGACATCTTTAAATCCTACTAAGGTATTAGTTGGTTTTAGCTTTCCCACATTTAATCAGCAAATACATATTCGAATTGCAAAATCGATTCATCCCATGATGCAACGGACATACTGTGAAATTCAATTATTTCAATTGTGTTACTCATAAGTAGTTAGTCGTTTAGTCGCATAATCTCTTTGATTTCATTGGACAATTGTAAACTAGCTTTTCTCCTATTGGTTGATGCACTTTATTGAACTGGTCATTTATGTGTCTATCTGCTTTAAGAGTTAACTGTTCTTGCCATTGTATTTATAATATTTAGTGTGAATCTAACACCTACTAAGTAGCAGCTGACAATACTAAGAAGTCAGATAAATCTTGGTAGCAAAATGAAATAGTAAATATGTAAGTGAATGCTGAAAAGATTGAGCTTACGCTGCCGACGATTCTTTAATTTCAAGTAATCAAACAATAAAAGTAATTTAATTGACCGTGTCCTTAGAAAGACACTGTCACAGTTAATAGACCAACAACAACGATGAAAACAATCATAAAAATACTGTGAAGTGGAAAAGAAACAAACTTGATGTAGCAAGAAAAAAATAGTATGGGTAAATTGTCGAAAAAACATCAACTTGCAATGTAGAAATATTGCTTACATAACGATAAAAAAATAATAATAACAAAATAGTGACCATGGAAGTCAATATAGTGATTATTCATGACAAAAATACCCAAACTCTCGAAAATCTTTCATAATGCATATGGGTTAGTTAAAAGGTTTGAGAAACTAATTTATAATATACTAGTTAGTAGTCTGAATTGAATATAACATGTTATCAGTCTATTATTCTTGTTATTATTATTACTATTATTACTATTATTATTATTATTATTATTATTATTATTATTATTATCATTGCTTTCTACATTCATTCAAGAAAAAATATTTGTTGTACTTTTGCATATTCTGTCAGTTTATTAATTAATTTCGTATATTACGATTTACTTACATAAAAAAAACTGTGGTTCATTGCTGTAAGCACTAAACCGTGAGGTCGAAATGTTTTGAACTACCGAGGTTTATATTTGGTATACTATCCATACGTTTATAGGCAGAGATGGATAGCGGTTAGCAGTGAAATAAGGGAAGCCTATTTGGTTTTATCTGGGACTTGTGAACTGGATGTATCCTAGAGATGATGGTTCACTTCGGGACTCTATTTTATTCATTATTTTATTTGAACACATAGATATTGGTACAAGGGGGCACCAGATACATATGCGCCACATAGGTCACTTGATTTATGTGAGAGCTGTGATACTTCCTGGGTTCCCAGACCGAAGCAGGTGGTTTTCTTAGGGGGCCACACCCGGAGCCTTCGACCTAAAAGTCTGATCCACAAGGCAGTGGAGCATCGTAAGGAGATGCCGTCCCATGGTAGCTGGTGACCAACGATTGGTTCTCACACCATTTGTTTCTTCAGGATACTGGAGCCCATGTGCACCATTGGTTTTGAATCCGGTTAAAGCGCCGGAAACTCGCTTTTCGTCCCCTCATTTTCGTAAACAACATCCCTCCACGAGAAGGCAGTGAGTAGGACTTGCCTGGCAGAGGCTGTATATGCGTGGCCATGTGAGAGAATTTGGAGAGGGAGAGCAAACTCTCCCCACTCTCGGCCATACCAGGGCATTTGTGGGAAGGTGAATTATGAAATCCTCGAAAAGTTGAACTTACTGGTGCTTTAGCTGATGGTCATGGTGCTGAGGTACTGAAAGGTTCATTTAGACGGTGTCCTATAGTTGTAAATATGTTAAAACTACGAAATTGTTCAACAAGACAGGTTAGGCTAGTATTTTTTTTCAGATATTCATACTTTCAGTTATCTTTTACATTTTGCCTCGGGACTCTAACCAAGTATCGTTCTGTCTAAATTCGAATGTGTTATCCACTTATCTACTGAGTTCAGCTAGCCACAAAATTGCGCAACATGGTGAAGCTTAATTCATTTCTATTGGTTGTTTAGGTCTTTTCATCGGTATTTAGGACTGCCATTGACCAGTGTCTTATTGTTATTTGTACATCCTGTGTGGATTGTTTCGAAATTACCTTAGGTCACAACCATTATTAGCCGAGATAAATGGTTCCGAAAAGAGATTAATCAGTTGCAGTCCTAAGCATCAATGGGTAGATTCAAACAAGCAATACAAATTAGTTATTCTTGGGTTTGTATGACATTAGAGAATAAAATGTGCAATTGGCCAATCGGTACATGTTCTTTAATAACAATGAGGAAGCTCAAAACAAAAGGACGAATTTTTAAGAAAATGCAAACACGACCATCTATCGTTTCGCTATAGTTATGTAAGATTACAGTGACTTCGTATGAATATATTTATTCATCCAAACAAACACAAAAACTGCTTCAAAATAGAATCATACATTCACTAGGTAATTTTTGTTTGCACTCCAATTGATTTGATGAAAACTGTAGAATACGAATCTCTACTATCGTGACTGAATTATTATGATTTTTACGGTACGAATCAATTATCGATCGTGAAAAGTTGGTTCATTTAGTTTCATCCTTGTCAGAATTCACTAAGTATTAATTATTTCTGATACTAACTCATTTCATTCAACGGCTCAAGAATTTTAATAATTACCCAAGGAGATAAGTAACCAATGTTATCTGAGAAATCTTCATTGATAATGGAAGGTTATGCTGGCTCTTATATTTTTTAGATTCCATATCTTTCGATGGTAGAAAATATTATCCATGAATATTCATCTTTCTTGAACGGTTGTATGTATATATCCTATGATTGTAACATATATTGCACGTTATCGTCCTTTATTTACAGTATTTGATTAAAAATGGCGCATGTCTTATGCAAGAAAATAAATATGGTGAAACTCCATTAGAGCTAATTCGTCCACGTGCTGCGGCATTAATTGCTCCATTAGCACAAGCTTTAGGACATGATTTATCTCATCGTCGACCTTTTCGTGATACAAGCTGGATTGGTACGAAAACACGAGCACGAGATGCTACTTTATATCGTCTTGAAGGTGAATCATGGGATCCTCGAGAAGTTGAATTAACAGGTGCTTTAGCTGATGGTCATGGTGCTGAGGTACTAAAAGGTTCATTTAGACGGTGTCCTGTAGTTGTAAAAATGTTAAAACTACGAAATTGTTCAACAAGACAGGTTAGGCTAGTATTTTTTTTCAGATATTCATACTTCCAGTCATCTTTTACATTTCGCTTCTTTGTGTTCTGTTAAATCCATAACCAATTTTGTTCATATTTTACCTTTTACTTTACACTTGTATCTGTGCATCTCTGTTCAGCGTAATTTAACTTGAAATGATATAGCTTTATAATCCAGTTAAACAGCTTTAGTGCTTTTGCGTTCGATGAACTGCATGGCCGTATTCTAACCTATCGATCATTACGCTAGATATCATCACCACCAGTCTGCTTGAAATTAAAGTGAATTTTTATGTAGCAGGAACTAAGTATTCTATAAACAAAGGCAGTGGAAATCTTATAAATAAACCATCCGGTTCATGGCATACAAATCCCTACATTTCTTTCCACGATTTAATGAAAGTTTAGTGATTTCATTTCCTTATAAATTTGCTTCAATCATGCCCGAATTCGCATACTCGCTGTCGTCTAATTATACTACTGGCTTAAACAACCTTAATTAATTTATGCTCACAACTGCGTCAACCTGTATGCTTCTATAACCGTAATTTTATTGTTTCATCTTACATAATTCTGCAAAGAAACTGAATTGTACGTATGATGGTCACTAATCCGATATCTATTATCATCTACTGATATATATGATCAAGATTTTTCATCCATTTGTTCAACATCTGTGTCAAACAGCTTATGGATTTCTCATATTTACTTATCACGCAAACACTTGCATCTCCTTTTCAACCACATTCAGCTTCACAACTTCATTCATTTCATGCATTCTGAAATTTACATTTACATTTTGAGGTTGTACAAACCATAATGATACGTTGTACGTTTTTTGGGAATCTCTGTAATCTCAATTCAAATCTGATTAGAGTTATTCAGTGCTAAAGTCAGTTCATTTTGTATTGAATTTATAGTGTGACAAATGAACTTATCAGAATCGAAACAATGACTTCCAGGTCCTTGAGCGAAATTCAGTCAGTCATTATCAACGTAGAGCCTCGTAAATATGTGTGTTGGCTCAAGTTCCCATACCATATAAACACGACGAAACGAAATTGACATAATGAATAGCTGAAGAAATCGAAATATTGTAGTTTATCAATTATGACGATAAAGACTAAGTATTAAGAATATAGTTTAAAGGGATAGTATAGTTTAGTGCCCCTGAATCTGACTCCATTCGGATCGTATGATGATTGTTATTGAAATATACATATCGCCAATCCTCGCAAATTATTTTCGACTTTAATCGCGTTAGTGAATAACGGGATTCAATAAGTCAAATGCGAGAATGGATTTTGAATAAGTATATTTTGTACAATCATTGATCCAGACAAATGATCGGAGGAGTGAAAAGAAGAGAGCGAAGAGAAATGACGCGCAGTGGACAAGGCGAGTGAGCCAACTCAATTTAACCAAGCGTTAATTGATGAGTAATTTATGAAACGCACATACATACGCTTACATAAAAACAGTCAAGGTTGACAAGGGAATAATTAACAATGTCAAAATGTAACTTGAAGGGAATGGATAAGTTGGTTTGTCTAAAATTTAGAATAAGCTATATGGGCTCGACATAGGACCAGCCACTACTATGGAAAGGTATGTTCGAAGAAATGCTAGAACTCAAGAAGAAGAAACAGACAAAGAGCGAATGGATTTTTGTCATTATAAACAATTCCGAGCCACGTCATCCAACATCTGCACCCACTGATTGCTGTTATCTCGCAGATCCTAACTAGGTATCTTGCTTTTTCTAGCGAAATTTAGAAATTGATAGGAGTTAACTATACAATGCTCAGAGTGTTCAAGATTTTTATAATAGAATAGAAATAGGATGGTATGAAATGAAAATTATGCTTTCAGCATACTTTATCTGATTCAAGACATTTTTCAATGTTGTTATCTAGTTATTACTTCAGTATAGATTTAAACTAAATTACTCACAGTCCATATCTCGTTTCAGATATAGAACCTACTAGGGATTGCTAAGTATTGAACGTCTCTTCTTTCCTATGTTCAGACTGTTAACGAGTCGATCTTTTGCTTATTTATATTACACTATCAATAGGTTCAACGTGTTTGTGGTATGACAGACAAGAATTCACTGTTATGTATAAGAGTTATAAGGTGTGTTATATAATTTTATGTATAATATCATATTCTTTACACCTTCCATCTACAAAATTCATAGGCACGTGATTTCAAGGATGAATTTCCGAAACTTCGCATCTTTAATCATCCTAATATACTCCCAGTATTGGCTATTTTTACTGCCACGCCACGTTTATGCCTTGTCAGTGACTTTATGCAATATGGAAGTCTTTTTGATGTTTTACACCAACCAGTTGAAGCCAATATACACGGTACAACTGAGATAAGTCATCGACAAGCTTTACGATTTGCTGTTGACATAGCCAAAGGTATGGAGTTTCTACACTCACCAGAATTAAAAGTTCCCAATTTTCGTTTGAACTCCAAACATGTAATGGTAGGTGCTATCATTGTTTTTTTTTAATCAAAATTCGTTTAAGAGAGCCTATCATTTACTATTTGCTAATCCATGTTCGTATTACTTATTATTATTTAGTAATATTTCGTGTTATGAATACTGTTTTTTACAAAGCATCAGTGCATTCTGTTCATCATAAATTTTACGAAATTAGTTAATTTTACTAGGTATCTAAAAATAATTTAGTTGTTGGTATTAGTGCCGAGATTCGACTTGATATTTTTGAATAAATTGAGCGTTGAGTAGATAGTTAATAATGAATTGTATTTCTGGCGTTTCGTGACTTAATGTAAGCCGTTTCTTTAGCATAAATAAATAACGGAATTAAATTAACACGTTTAAATGGTACAAAGAAAACAGTGCAGAATCAAAATCATAATAGGTTTGAATATCTCAATATCAAGTTATTCTTGGTCAAGGTGAATTTGTATAACCTGTTACTATTAATTTGTGCGTCAGAATGTGTGTATGGAAACTATGCATTTGTAATATGAAGTAGTGGAGATGAAATTGTATTTCAGATTGTTTAGAAATAAATAAGGTTATATGTGATTGTTTGGATACAGTCTAAGTTAAATGAATATTCAGGTCTTTCCATATTGAGGGCAGAAGGATTTAGCATAATGTGAAACGCTTCAGCTACCCGCCTCTCTTTACAGTTGGAAAAGTCTTTCTGAATTATTTTGATGTTTTTAATATCAATTTGGTGATTATTCAAAATAGCATGTACTGTTATTGCTGATCTAACTTGTATATTTTCCAATTCTACAGTATTATTAGGTCTTTTTGTGTAACTTACATGATTCTTGGCACGAGTCGAGATCTCACGGTAAGACTATAATCTAGAATGAATCACTATCGACACAACGTAATCTGTAGACAAAATTTTGTGTAGATGTAAGCGGGATCTTATTTTTTTAGAACAACTAAAGAGTTTCCTAGAGTGTTGGTAGTCTTGCAGACCTTTATTTTGTGAGTTTTCAAGATCCGTTGTAATTATTCTGTCATACCTTTGCGGCAAGGTAAAACCACAGTACCAATCCAAGATCTTTCATTACGGTTGTTATTTACAGTAGGACAGTTTTGCTTTAATGTCTTTTTAATAATCTTAAAAAAATGATCAAAATGTAGGATGTTTGATATATTGTTTTATTTAGCTTGTCTCCTGAAGTAATGATCTTGGTTGCTCTTCTGAAAAGATTCAGGGCTAGGAAAATTTTCACACTGAATGAATGTACAGAGTTAAAATCAACATACCAGTTTAAATATGTTGGCCTTTGGTATATGCCTGAATTTAGAAAACCATTAGGATTCCTTCTAAGTGAACCGTCTAAGAATGGTAGTTCATTATGTTCATCATCCTTTACGAAAGTGAATTTGATGTGTTCTGTGAGCGTGCTTATATGTTTGGAGAAATTTCTAAGAAGAGTGGTTTTATTAATGAAAAATGTGTCATCCACATTTATGAGCCATATGCTGGGTTTGATTGTGCTGACAAAAATAAGCGATTCAATGTGGTTCATAAATAAATTTAAAACTATCGGAGATACTGAAGATCCCATGGCTACTCCATTCGTTTGTTTACATAAAGTCCCTTTTAAAGTGAAAAGTGTTGAATTCAAGTGTAGTTTAAAGGATTCCATGATTGAACTAATGCTTAATGAATATGTGCTAGATAGAGTATGATCATTCTCTAGTATTGTGTCCGATCTTTAGGCATTCAGCTATGATTAACCCATAACCTGAAAGTTTGAATATACGAGGAACTGTTTTATCGAAACTTAATTACGTACACCTGTTACCCATGATGGAGGAGCATAGACCACGCACCAGGATTTTCTAACCAGCTCTGTCGTGAGCATCTCTAGTATTGTTAGAGGTCTTCCTTTTGACCCTAGGTTTATTGATTCCTCATAATTTTCTAAAAGTATTCGATTAGTTAATACCTTACGTAATCATATCTTCGATGCCTAACCTTTTCTATTACCTCTACTACTCTGTGATTTACCCTGACAATCTCACCTCGCTATGTCGATGTAGTATGCCAACTTGAAACGATGTATACGCGTACCAGGTTGTACATGGCGTGTGACTGGTCAATTGTTCAAAATAAGAACAGAATTCTAGGGTGTCGTTGAATGGACTGCTATTTGGTCGCTTTAATCTCTAAGCCATAAAATTTTGTGGCTTGAATCCAAAAACGAGATCAGCTACTTAGTAAACAAATACCACAGTATTAAAAGGTTAAAATTAGTGAAGTTAGATAGTAGCAAAAAATATGTTGTAACACTGTATCCAATTCTTAGTCATTCAGCCATGATTAACCCATAACCTGAAAGTTTGAATATACGAGGAACTGTTTTATCGAAACTTAATTACGTACACCTGTTACCCGTGATGGAGGAGTATAGACCACGCACCAGGATTTTCTAACCAGCTCTGTCCTGGGCTCTCCTCCACACTTGTTTCCAAGTACTATTCATTCTTTTGATGTCTGCCTCGAATCCCCGACTCAATGTGTTCTTGGGCCTTCTTTTCCTTTTCCATTCACTACTTCCAGTTAGGACATGACTCGGGATGCACTCTGATGATTTCCTCAATGTATGTACTATTCACTTCCAGTGTCTTTTCCTAATTTCCTCTTCGGTTGGGAGTTGGTTTGTTCTCTTCCACTGTAGGTTGTTGCTGGTGGTTTCTGGCCAACGGACATTGAGTATCTTATATAGACAATTGTTTAGTAATACGTGTACATTTTTATGGTGGTCTTAGTGGTTCTAGAAGTTTCGTTTCCGTACATGAGAACTGTTTTGACGTTTGTATTGAATATTCTGACTTTGATGTTGACTGATAGTATCTTATTGCATTGTTCATGATCATGATGTGATGCATATTTGACAGAATATCTACTCTAGATATTTTCTTATATGAATTTCATCTCGTATAATTCCTGTTATTTTTAAATCAACATGGAATATCGTTTTCTCTCTTTTTCTATTTCTCCACAAAACCACTCAATAGATCAAATTATTTCATTTTTAGACAGGAATCGAAGCAGCCTTGGTTTGTGGTTCCGTTCTGATTACCTCTAGCTAGCCGACACCTTAACATGGTGTGTGGTATTAGTGACCGTATTACGACGTGCTCGATAGGATTTGAACATTAATTATAAGAACTAGGAAGACATAATATTGGTCACTACACAATGGTTAGTCTATTGTAACTAAGTCGGTCCATCAGTGTGTCAGACGCTTCTGGGATAACTTGGCAGTATCATCTCAGACTATGAATCTTGATGGCCCTAGGTTCAAACTCCACGAGGAGCATCATTTCCCCCACGATTGTAAGGACTCCCTTCTTGATTAACACTAACTGGTATGAAACTGATATCCAGTTTTCTACCAACTACCTCCAATCATCAACATACATTCAAGAACAGATTGCATTAATAGTTCTTATTTTTACTCCAAAAGATGAAGTTTATCATATCTTTGCTGGCTGCGTAAAAAGTTCAGCAGACGTTCACTAATAACACAAAGGAATGTATAAATAGACATTTTTGAGTTAGTTATTATTACTGACCTCATATATCTAGTATTCTTTTTCTGCTGATGCCTTTATTCTGCAAACTTATCAGTAAGCAATAAAATTATATATGTATAGTAGAAAGATGTCATTTGATTAAAATGGGGTATACTGTAAACAATAGAAATAGTTTTGGCACAAGAATAGTCTTATATTGTGGTAATTTTATATTCTAAAATCTATTATTAACACGACTTATTTCATTAGTGTATCACCATCACCAATTTACTATGCGTTTAACAATAAATGTAACTGTTAAATTTCGTTAAGCAACAACAAAAGCCCAGATAAATCGATTAATGCTAATTAATATTGTCAGCGTATTTAGTACACATTACGATTGTGTTATAATGCAGTATTTGCATACTGAAGCGTGTACACATATATGTGAATCGTGGAGAGGTGATAAACGATCACAACAACTCAACTATTGAAGCAAGCCCTCTACAAAACACATAAACATTGCATAATTGGTCAGAGAATTATGTAACTAACAAAGACAGAAACCATTTTGTTGGATGTGGCACATCACAATTCCTGTAATTTGTTTCATATATTATATTTTGCAAGCTTATATCAGTGCATATGGGCAATTAAGTATACAATTTTGACTGTGAAAACTATGACCTTGAACAGACGCAACAAAAAATGATAAAATTTTTAAGAGCATGCTAATCGTGTCAAGTAAGAAAAACGAACGAAATCTATCTATGCAAATAGTTATGTCCCAATTACTCTGTAAAAGTGATCTCATTCCATTTCGATGTGACTAGCTGTTAGTTATTACTGGAAAAATTCTAATAACTTTTAACTGAAGTTTATGTCGATGATATCCAAAACTTAAGCTAATGAAAATGTCACAGTTATAGTATTCAGTTTAAGAAAATGAAATCTAGTATCGAAGTCATTTCATTCTCTTCGTTTATACACTTCTGTGAATCTATCAACTTCATGAAAATTCATACTGAGTGGGGTTTTTTTCCCTCTAATCTACTCAGATTGTTCATGCAAATTCTTTTTATATCACCAACAGCTATTGACTACTACCACTGTAGTGAACGAAAACACTAGTGGGAACAACCAAATATATCTGACTATAAAATTACAGAATCTTTTACTAAAATCTGATAACCATACAGTAAATACTTCATTCGCAAAATGTCAATCAGTTGTCTCACACTTGATTGTTCCTTCATTTCTACATCAATCACTCTCTGTCCTCGTCCAATTCTCTTCAATTTTCTTAACTTTCTGCCGCCAGTCATTTCATATTCTATTAGTGATACATACTACTTATATCTGTCGATAACTGTAACACACACTACACTACTACCGTTCTAAATTATTTGTTTACCTTTCTTCTTCTTCTTCAATAAAATCCATAAAATTAATAATCTATCAGACATAATGGTGTAGCATAATGTATTATTATCTTTTTATTCACACACTTCTCTTAGAAAATATATGATAATAATATGAGTAGAATAGTATTATTCATTAATTGTAAGAATAAATCAATGCTCATTTCCGTATACACCTATTAATCTACTTATCTTTATGTAACACGTATATTGTTGTACTCATTGTTAGCCTTTAATTGTTTTAATCTCTACGTGTGTATTAATTAAGAATCTTTAGTAGTAGCTATTTTGTTTCTAAGGTAAAATTACACATAAATTTAACATATTCACACCTTAGAAAGAAAAATAATTCTTAGAATGTTGAATACTGTTTTTATTTTTTTCAAAAAAAAAGGGAATTTTATGCATATTAGTTTATTTTTGTTAGAAATGAAATCATGTTTGATGTTTTATACATAAAATGAAGTTTATAAAATGATCTATTTTAAAATGTTAGTATATATTTAACAAAGTTGAAGTACATCATAATAAGGTGATTTCACAGGTATCAATACCAAGATTGCACTTAAGCATTGATAAGAGAGTTAATAATAAATATATTTTTTATTATATCCTTTGTACTCGTGTTAATTTAATTTCGGGTATTTGTTTACTCTGAAGAAGTGGCTTAGATTAAGTCATGAAACGTTAGAAATATAATTTTTCTCCTCATTGAGTTATAATAAAATTATATTTATTATAAAGTGATTTCATCTTTCGTTCTCTTATGTTGTTCATACTTTTTATTTGAACAAAAAGAGATTTATTCTCACTTATTATGGTTTTTTTCCTTTTTATCATTCCTTTTACCGTTAAAATTAAATGTTATAATTGACAGTCTTTCCACTGTTAATTTATTTCTCTGATAACTCTTGGTTTGTTACACAGTTTTTCTTAAATAACTAATTTACTAGATAATGGTTCATATACTTTGCTTCCACGTATAAAGACCATTAATAATACCTTGTTTTCCGAACCAAAGAAGGTGGAGCGCGAGGTTTGTATCTTGGAATTTATAGTTAAAAGTAGAATGTCTTAATTACTGTTCCATCGCTCCACATACTACACAGTATGTGTAACTCAGCTTTATTATTTGAATATGTATGTAACTACAGTGTTAAAGCTTTTGAAAGTATTATTTATTTATCATGCTCCACAGAAAAGTATTATCCTTCTACGATGTGAACAACCAGTAACTGTCTATGTTATAGATTATGACTTGACGAATGAATGAGTTTTGTAATTTTTAAAATAAATGAATAGGCTGCAGTAATATAACATGGTGTAGTGATTTCTGCTCGTGAGAGTGGATATATATATATATATATATATATATATATATATATATATATATATATATATATATATATATATATATATATATATATAGTTAAACCTTAACGTGGGATCAGTTCATGAAGTCTTATAAACGTTGGGTCTAAGTCATGGAGATAGACTCAGACTACCTCTTTAGGGTCTTCTTAATCACTATGATCAATGGCGGAGACGTTTGGTGATGTGGTTCAGAATCAGTCACAGTTACCCAGATGGGATCGCTCTTCATGATATTCTAGATCCTAATTTCCACTATTCTTTCATATATACCTTTCCATTCTGTCTTCTTGAACCATATTCTTAATTTTCGATCTTTTTCACCATCATTGATACTCCAGTAGTAATTCCATTCAACTAATGTATTATTTATCTGCTCACTGTAATTTAGACACCTAGTCCACTATGTAATTTTCTGTGTGAGTCTGATTGAACACATGTCTACACATCAATTTTCAATCTATTCTCCCATTGGTTGTAATACACAGACAATCAATAGTTTATCCATACTTGATTAACACATAAATGTATATGGATTTTTAACAAACACTCTTGGTTTCCCTGTGTGCCTGCTTCCTGTATGCTTGCGGATTTCACCATTTTTTAACAATAAACTGTTTCTTTAACTGGTGTTCAGGCTTTTGAATAATCTCGAGTAATTCCATAATTTTACTAGGAGATTTAGCCTGCATTAAATATTCAGTTAACGGGATAATATATATTGGAGTCAGATATGGGGGAACTTAGCCTCTACGCTCCCATTATCCTAACTCCTTTACTATTTATTCATTTCATAATTCATTTGTGGAATAGAGTAAAAATATTGTTTCCTTGTACTAGACACTTTTTTGTAATTAGTCGGTGTATTTAGGTTGTTTTTGGCAAAAAGGATTCTATATTGGTAGATATTTATGTCCGTTAGTTTGCAACTTTGACAAAACAACCAAATAGACTTGAACAATGAGATTCTAAATCTCTTAACGATTACTTACGGAATATTCAATCCATATATTTGTAGTATCATCGACTTCGAAGTAAAAGGTTGATTGTTGTAAGTAGGAAGTTAGAAAAGACTGAGTGTTATCAGACAGTCTAGAAAGGCATTTGCTGATAATCTAAGTCATGCAGAGAAAGCTATAAACCTGTTCGTTTAATTTCACTGTTAAAAATCAATGATTGTAGAGCCTGATGGCAGAACCTTGTAGTTCTTAAGCCTTCAGTTTTTCTCCTCATTTCAAATCGTTACGTTGTATCTACTTTTTCATATATCCTTAAACGTTTATTGTTCATTTTAACATTATTGATAATTTTCTTTTATGTGCTGTTTTGAAATATGGCGAATCGAACTGACGTATTGTCTTTGTACTATAAAACAATCCTTGTAATTGTTTCATGTTGATGAATGTTGTATAACTGCACTTCAGTTAACAGTGTTTGATTCCAGTGACTAACTATTAGAACACATTATTGTGTATATATTATTCAGAATATTTTATCTAGTATAACTTAGCTTAGACAGTGGTCAGTAAACATTTCAATATCAAGTTAGTTAATGGTCACTAATTAAACTTGTTTTTTTCTTGTTTTATCAATGATTATTAATTGCAAGTGCGTATACTTATCGATGTGAACCTATGATAAAACATATTCTAATGGTAATTTATAAACTAAACTGTATGTAATTTTCATTATATTGACTAGATATTTCTTTTGTGTACACTTCTGAAAATTCATCATGTATATTAGGTGATTTTTCATCTTACAGTGGCATTACAGCAGACTCGAATCTAATCTATGAAAGTATGATGTTTACCATTGAATTTTTAAAAAGTTTGACTTTACAAAAATTGCTTGTAAATATATTTTTAAAATTGTAATTTAGGTGGATGAAGATATTGCTAAAATTGGTGTTTGGGATACAGTTGATACTGTTGCACATGGACAGAATATACAACAGTCAATTACACCTGATGAATCGTTAATTGCTCGTTTAGATATGGCAGATTACAAATTTTCATTTCATGAAAAAGCTCGAGAATACAATCCAGCTTGGATGTCACCTGAATGTATGTGTAATAAACATTATATATTATTGATATTACAAAACCGATGTTAGTCAACTATTAGAAACCTAGAAGCTCTAGTCATATGTCTCGTCCTATTATGAGATTCTTCAATCAGTATACATATACGACCCCACCCTAAGGAATCGATTTCACTCGAACGCTTGGTCTTTAAAACATTAAGGCAAAATCCAATAGTTTCCAAGTATAACTTCAGTCAATTGAAAGTACTGAATGACTGTCTTCTGTTGTTTTCGGTGTGTATCTTTCTTACACGACATGGTTAAAGTTCGCTACTTACAGCTACTCACTAAAACTCCAGAAATTTTCTTTTTAAGCTAGTCATTAGTGAACACATAATAGTTATTAATATGGTGTTAATGAATCTCAATAAAATTCTCCTACTCAAGTGTAATGGTAGATAAAAGCGACTCGTTTATTAAAACATTTCACTGTGTAATCGACACCTCATGCAAAATAATCAAATCTTGCGCCATTTCATTAAATATCTTCAACCAGATGTTATGATTATCCCGTATATAATCTAGAAGGTTGTACCTGCTGTTTATGGATGGAGAGGATATAAGTTTTGGTGAACCGATGAAATCAAAGATAGCACCTATTTGATTTTGAGTCGAAATTCATCTATCCATATGGTTAAATAGAATCTGGGCATTATAGCTGATGTCAGTTCTCAATGAAAACCTTAACTCTAATTCCTAACCCTAACTTCTAACTGTTAATCCTAATCCTAGTTGCTCGCACTAATTTATAACCTTCGTTTGACCCTAGTAAGTAGGTGACTTTTCTCCAGGTCACTTTAGCATCGCTCCAATGTCGTTCATAAATTATGATCTCATCTTACATATCAGTCCGACAATTGATAACTTTATGGACCGATATGTATCTTTATCTCGTTAATCGTAGCTTTTTCCTAACTTACTCTTCTATTTACCAATACTGTGCGTTAAGTTAAACAGTGTCTAAAGCATGCGTAACATATATCCAAACCATTTAAGTTGATCGAGGACATAACTTCATCAATCAACTTACTATTTGTAAAATTTAAAACAATTCGTCCCTTTGACAAATTTCGATAATGCAATGAGAAGACGAAGGTTATCAGATTTTTTGTACCTTAAATCCTATGCTTAACCACAGCATTACTCACTTTCTGATAGTTGTATATCGAATGCAATAGTAAATCAAATGTGTCATGGAGCTTTTGATAATTAGCTTTAAATTTCATTAGTCATATTTATACTCAGTCCTATTCTTGTTTGAATACGTATGCATTTCTATATGTGTTACTATAAATTAATATGTTTAATAATTTAAGTTCATGACTATTATCTACGATACAAAAGGATGTGACTCATAGTTTAGTACATTAACTTGTTCATGCAATCGTATCAGTCATCTTATCCTCCTTTCTTCTAATGACAACTCAATGTATTGTGTTTAAAATGTTTTCATTCTTTCGTAATTTGTGCTGCTTGTATTTACAGTATTTTTTTGTCTCTTAAAAAACTGTATAGCTTTACAAAAGAAAGCAAGCGAAATAAATCTTGAAGCTTCAGATATGTGGAGTTTTGGCGTTATACTTTGGGAATTAACAACTCGTATGATACCATTTGATGGAATAAATCCTATGATTATTGGAATGAAGGTAATTGTTAATCAATGTTATATCAATTTAAATAGTGAAATACTACTCAATTGGAAAATTAGAGGATAATAATGACTGGTTATGGTTTAAAATTACAAAACACTAATTTAAAAAACAAGAACAAACCAAAACATATTACAGAAGGGAATCAGGGCCAAGAAAGAATGAGAGGTTGGACGTATCGTTTTTTCATGTACGGTTTGGGCTTGAATAGTTGAATCGCCAATGCCTCAGCAGAGATATATGCATGATAGTTTCATTATTTGTGAAAAAGATATGCGCGTCAATGAAATTTTTAGTCATTTCAGTAATTGTTATCACTCAATTCAATTCACGTTGGAAGTAGAGGCAGACAAGGCATTTTATTTTCTTGTTGTCTGGTTGAAAAGAAGGTCAAATGGTTTTTTTATCGAGATCTATATATAGAAAACCGGTTTGAAATAGACAGTATACTAATTTCCATAGCTGGGTCCAATTGAGTATGATGAGAAACTTAATTTACTCTTTATCCCCGAGGATTAGGCGAATATGATCTAATGACACAATAGATAACGAACTACTTCAACTCCGACAGATGCTCATCAGAAATGGTTATCCATCTAGATTCGTCGATAGGAACTTAACACCTAGACAACATTCTGAAAAGCGCTAACAGTTCAAAAGAAAACTTTATGAATATCGAATTTAAAGGAAATACGGCTGCTGAAATCTTGAATAAAAAGATTTCAAAATCCCCGAATAGAACCTTCTATTCAGCTAAGTTTCGCAATGTCTTAGCAAGCCGACCCACCATTCACGGATGTGTTGAGGATAAACTTCTTCTTTGGGCCACACGAATGTACATCAACAAATTTACTTGGTCTTGTGGGGCAAGTTACATTGGTCGCACAAAGTGACCACTTTCTAGACGCATCTTAGAACACTACCCAGCATGGCTTTTAAAAGGAGAATGCAAAACAGTTACCAGTTCAATACAGAAGCATCTAATCAACTCTCGAATAATCTTCTTTTAAAATTACTTACACAATCAAAGAAACTGGATCAAAGGGTGGTTGAATCAAAAACGTATACACTGTTGAAGCATTGGCGATTCAACTATTCAAGCCCAAACCGTACATGAAAAAACGATACGTCCAACCTCTCATTCTTTCTTGGCCCTGATTCCCTTCTGTAATATGTTTTGGTTTGTTCTTGTTTTTTAAATTAGTGTTTTGTAATTTTAAACCATAACCAGTCATTATTATCCTCTAATTTTCCAATTGAGTAGTATTTCATCGATCTGTACGAGTTAATTATTCTCTAGATATGATACGTAATTTGTTTGTTTGTCTTTACGATGATAATCATGTATACCGAATGAGAATGTTCAGTTTATATAGAATTTAAATGTTATGTCAATTTTTATAACCAATGGAAAGTACCATAAATTTGTACAACAGTTTCCTTATTGATAATTTTAATTGTTGAGATCATGAGTAAATTGAAGATAGACTACCGTGGAAAACCTGGAAGCACTGGATGGCTGTTTCGTTCTATTGTGGGACACCTCAGCAGTGCGCATCCATGATCCCTCCTCGCGAGATTCGAACCCAGGATCTATCGGACGCGCGTGCGAACGCTTAATCTCTAGACTATTAAGCCGGCATCCAACGGTGCTAATGTATAACAGCCGTCTAGTGTTTCCAGGTTTTCCTTGGTGATTTTGCTTCAATTGACTCATGATCTCAGCTATTAAAATTTCTATAATATCATAAAAACCTCTTCTGATATTATTGATAATTCATTAATAAGCTATAAATCAACTCTAAACGATATCCAACAGCTTGATAAAGTTATTATCTCGGAACTAAATTGTCTTTTTTGCATCAGACATTACAGACTTAAGAAAGAAGTTAGCTGTTAGAATTTCTTGATAATCGACTGACAAATTGTTGGTAATCACTGCTTAGTTATTATTGTTTATACATTGACTTTGTTCTTAGCAGTTAATTTTTTTAACCCCGAGTGCAGTTCAAAGTAGAGGCCTTAGCTACTGAGCCACTTCTTCACAAAAGCAGTATTATATATATATATATATATATATATATATATATATATATATATATATATATATATATATATATATATATATATATATATATAATACTATTAATCTGTAAGAAATTTAGAAATATTTAAAAAGATTTTAATTAAAAGGATTGGTCTTTGATAAGAAGTATTATTTCTAGCGATGTTTTATTATAGCATAGTTTTCAGTATTATTCAGTCAGTCAGTAACAACGTAGAACTTCGTACATACATCAGTTCGAGTTGCCATATCACATTATCACAGAGATGCAGTTGTCGATTCAAACAATACTTAATATTTCAGTAATATTAAGTATTGTTTTTAAATGATTAGATAGTTTTTTCTCCGAATTCACTGTTAATCAGAATTTCTATTAAACCGAATGTTTTTTAGAGTAGTTTAATGTTTGTTTGAATGTCCAACAATGGATATTACTGATTGAATTATGATTCATTTTGTGTTGATCAGATTAATGCGTTTGTTTGTCGATTGATTGAAGTTTACATTAATTTGTAAACATATTAGACGTGAAATTACTTATTTATAAACGTTTATTTATGGAAACATTTTACTAGGTCAAGTCATTTACAGTAAAGGAGGTATATTTGATAGTGATTAATAATATTACTTACATGAAAGATTTTAGTTGCAAATTATTTTGAAGACACATCAGTATAATATAGCAAGGGTGTAAATAAATTTAATGGACTGAATAAAATATTGCATGTATATACTCTATATAAAAGAATATTCCACAACACTGATAGTAATAAAAGTCTAAAGGGCTAGAAATAAGTGGTTATGTAATAAGTAAGGATAAAATGAGTATAGTTCCTTTAGTCAAAATAAGATTACTAGACTAGAAGACAGTCAAAACAAAGAATGTGATGATATAATAAAAGAATATTTGTCACCAAGGCAAAGGAATATTAATAACCATCTTTTGAACAGATCCAACAGGTCTCTGACACCTTCAGCAAAAGTAAAGACTGGAGCTTGGCGATTTATTAGTCATCTTGAAAGATTGCCAGATATCGACCTGACTTTCTGTATCCAAGAGATGTTTATTAGTTGCGCTATTTAAAGTAATTCTTCCTTTTGTTTGAGGGATTTTTCGAACATGTTCAAAAATCTAAGATATACCCTCCTTTCTGTTCAACCAATCTAAATGCTTTGGCATGTACACATAAATTTATAAACACATTTGACGAGAACTAAACGAAATGAAAATGAATTTATGCTATTCTGCTTAAATCTTTGTTTTTTGTTCTTTTCAAGATGATGATAAGTGGAACCACTATGTGTATAAAATATTAATTACACTGATGTCACCTAATACTTTTGAATTTATTTGTTTCTTTCATTTTAATCTATAATTCTACTTTAACTCCCTTTTATTTATTCACTGTAAACTGTCTTAACCGAGATTGTGTAGTACGTTTCAATTGACTAATAAAACAATATTGTTAATTTTATCTTTGGCAACTTTTTAAAAAAGAATCTTACTTACACCTGTTACCCCTCGTGGAAGATCATAAGCCGCTCACAAGGATTGTCCATCCAGCTCTCTCCTGGGCAATCCTTTTCAGTTGCTATTCGTCCTTTTCATATCCGCTTCCGATTCCTGTCGCAGTGTGTTCTTTGGTCTTCGTCTTTTCCTTTTTCCTTCAGGACCCTAAGTTAGCGCTTGCATTGTGAATCAGTTTCATAATTTCCACAATATGTGTCCTGTCAACTTCTAGCGTTTTTCCCTAATTTCCTATTCATCTGAAAGCTGGTTTATTCCCTCCCACAGTAGGATTTTGCTGATGGTATCCGACCAACGGACATTGAGCATTTTGATTAGGTGATTGTTTATAAATACTTGTACCTTTTTGATCATGGTTGTAGTAGTTATCAAAGTTTCAGCTGTCTTGATGTTCGTATTGAAGATTCTGAATTTCATATTGGTTGACAGTTTTTTTAAAAAAAAATCTACATTGTATTAATTGTTTAGTTACATGTTATGCAGATATTTTTAGATAGTAGATGATAGAAAAACTCAAGTTTTATGTAACTGTCTAAAATAAATATATTTAGTGTAACCTGAGTGAACAAGTTAAATGGAAAACATAAATATACTAAAAATTAAAGTTTGAAATATCATCTTATGAACATTACAATCTAACTCACCGAATGACAAAAAGTGCTAAATATAAGACAATTAGTGAACAATGTTACAGATGACGTTAATCTTCTGGATAAATTATATAATTCAACAATGTAAGACCCAGATGCTTTGTTGTATAACAAAAACTAAGCACTATTAATAATCATCTAATTTTTAAACAGTTAGGTTACATTCTATGTAGAAAAGTGATAGTGAAAATTTCTGCAGAAATTTAGGATTCTAATTTTTTAAAGGTCTGATTTCTTGACATGTGGTCACTCAGCTACAACGTAGGACCAGGCGCATATGTGCATCGGTCCAAGTTGCCATACCTCATTAGCACAACAAGATGAACACCGGAGTCATAGAAGTAGTTAATTCAGTGGTAGTAATATATAAAATAAAGATTGCATATAAGGAAATAGTACAGAAAGAAAGAATTATTTGATAGAAAGAAAGATATGAAGCGATTTTAGTCTCAGGGTTTAAGGGAAGACTGAGAGTGTATACACCTACGCCATTGTGATCTATTCTGAGCTATGTCATCAGGAGTCTCCAACAACTAGTTACGGTAATCACGCGGATCTGACCAAGCAGTCTGCATCTATCAACCTGGGTCAGATCAGAAGTTAATGACTTTAAGTACTGATTCCATTTTTGGTTTGACTGCCCCTAACTTTCTTCCAACCGTCTGCAGCAGTTGCCAGCATTACTCGTCGTGGTAATCGGTGTTCAAGCGTACGCAACCTGTGGCCCAACCTTCTCAGTCGATGAAGATTCACAACCTCATCAACTGATTTACCATCATTCCCTAATATTCTGCATGTAACCTCACTATTACTTACCCAGTGATCCTAGCAGATGTGAACAATATTTCTAAGGCAAATATGATTTGTCACAGAGTCTGTACAAACAGTCACTCAACTTATTGACCATTAAATATGTAATTTCCTTTCGACTTATTGTTTTCTACTTTGAACTCATTGAGACTGATTGCTTGTAATTGTTTGGAGTAAAATATTGCCTAGAATTTAGTTTGCTTCTTTATACTTAGTCGTAAATTGTGTATCTGATGTAACGTGATCTATTCTCTATATTGTATGCCGTTCGAGTATCCAATCTAGCGATTTTATAACCTCAGTCACCCAGACCAATATTATTATGTTAATGTAGTATGCCGCAGAGAGAGGAAAAGGTATTTTAAGTCATTGATTATGTCGGTTCTTTACCTTTAAGGAAAAAACGAAAACCAGAAATGACTAGAAGAATTAAAAAAACCACTCATATAAATATTTCATAAGTCCGTACAAATGTTTTTTTTTCTCGATTTCGGTCATGTTTTATATATGGGATTAAAAATATGAATTAAGGCGAATTTCTAACTCCTTATGTATTCGCATCTACCATTCAGTCGGTTGTAGGTTAGTGTTAGATATAACTTGAAAATCATGTTTATTTTTTTTTTGCTCCATATTATGTATTACCTCACTGTCATCTACCTTTCTCTTATAGTGTTCTAATGTTATATTTACTAACTATGAATATACAAATGAGTTTCAGCATATTGTTTCTATTCTAGTAACATTAAACGACTTTTATGCTAATTAAATTCAGGGTGTAACAACATGTTTTGAGTGGCCCTTTTTTTCCAATGTCACTAATTCATCCCACTTTTAAATGAAAAATCATATTCAACATACATAATTTAATTTAAAGTTTTCTTTCTGAATAACTTTTAATATATTTGTAGTGTTTTCTTTTTTTTCTTTTTCATACAATTTATTAAATGATGAACTTTTCGTTTTGGAAACTGTAAACATTCTTAACATATTTCAACATTCAGATATTAATGTACTTTTTCATATATAAAAATGAAAAGTGTTTACAGATCAATAAAATATTTATTATGTTAATTGTTTAAGAGAAAAAGTATTTCAATTATTATCATTTAATATCATTTCTATTGAATTATTATGTAAACTTTATTCATGTAATAGTTTCAAGTGAAAAGACTTTGAGTTCACGTACTGATTTTAGTTTACTTTATTATTAAAGGGTGGGCACCAGATACATATGCGCCACATAAGTCAGTTGATTTGAGTGAAAGCTGTAATACTTCCTGGGTGCCCAGACCGAAACAGGTGGTTTTCTTAAGGGGCCACACCGGGAGCCTTTGACCTAAAGGTTTGATCCACAAGAGAGTGGAGCAACATCAGCAGATGCAGTCCCATGGTAGTCGGTGACCAATAGTTAGTTCATAGTCATTTGTTCCCTCAGGATACTGGAGCCCATGTGCACCATTGGTTTGGAATTAGGGTTTTCCAACTCCCCTAGGTGGACTCTCCGTGTCCACCAACCCTGTTAAAGCACCGGATATTCGCTTTTCGTCCTCTCAATTTCGTAAAAAACTCCCCCGTCACGAGAAGGCAGTGAGTAGGACTTTCCTGGCAGAAGCTATATACGCGTGGCCATACCCAGGGCATTTGGGGTTTAACTACTGAACACCAATTCGTAATCATTCATTATTTATTGTATTCCTTTCAATTATCGTTGATGTCAGTGACACTCTTTATTGATCACTTGTAATGATATTCTAATAGAATAATTTCATTGAGCATATTTATTTTTAAAATTAGTTCAAACTAAGTAAATTATATGCAAAATGGTATAACATAATTTTGAACGGTGATATGGTGGTGAACTAGAATACACTAGTGGAGACAATCAAATACATCTGATTACAAAATTACAGAATCTTTTACTAAAATCTGATAACCATACAGTAAATACGTCATTTGCAAAATGTCAATCAATTGTCTCACACTTGATTGTTCCTTCATTTCTACATCAATCACTTTCTGTCCTCGTCCAATTCTCTTCAATTTTCTTAACTTTCTGCCGCCAGTCATTTCATATTCTATTAGTGATACATACTACTTATATCTGTCGACAACTGTAGCACACACCCCAGTATCAGTGGGATATTTAATCGTTGTATTCTGTCTTATTATGGAATTGTCCGTTGAATTCACAGTCGCATTTTAATGATACTGTAAATACAAATGTCATCTGTTAATATGCTACAAAATCGGTTACTAAAATCTTGAGTTACGTTGCTTATTTTTTGTCTAACTAGATTCTAATCATTCTTGCCTTTAATATTGTTACTGCTAGATTAAAAAAACTAATCATAGATCAGTCATGCAGTTCAACTACCATGCTTTTGAATAATAAATTAGTCTTTGACATTTTGTTATGACTGATCGATAAACTCTCAAAGTAGATTTTATTCGCAATTTGATCAGTTGCCATTCTAAACATTGATGGGAAGATTCAAACAACCAATACAAAAATGAATTAAAACTTCACCCCATTGTATACGCTATTGGTTATCTGGACTCAGTAGCTAAGTGGATGACTCAATCGCGTTTGAAGCGAACGGTATTGAGTTCGAGTCCCAAAGTGAGCTTCAACTCCGGGATGCAGTTGACGAGACGGGCGTCCTGAATTGAACTGATAGCCACCATCTATCTTTATGTAAAAATACTTTACGGGGAGAATAATGTTTCAAAGTAACTTAACCAATAGAGAAATATTTGGCTTCCTTTAGGTTCCTGGTTCCAGAACTATTTTCTACATCTTATTCTCTGAGTTTGTTCTTTCCTCTCGAATCATATCTTCTATGTTAAACCCTCTGTACTACTGTAGTGAACAGGACACGGGTGGGGGACAATCGGATGTATTTGACTCGAAATTACAGAGCATCTCAATAAAATCTGCGAACCATATAGTAAATCATTAATTTGCAGAATATCAATCCATCATATCAAAATTGACTGTTCCTGTTGCAAATATCAATCTGTTGTCTCAGATTTCATTGTTCATGCGTTTTCATACCAATTGCGTTCCGTTCCCGTTCTTTCCTCATTTACCTTCTACTGAAATTCATTGTATGCCTGACCACCGTTATATACTACTTGTGTGGATATAAGTAACCCACACTACCACTGTTATTATCTTACTTTTTTTGGTATTCACCTGGTTAATTCCATATTACTGATTTTATATGCTGTGACAACTTAGGTTGATACACGTACATACCAGATTCTATGTTGCTTGTGACTGACCGGACAGAGTGACTACTGCTAAGTCATTATTTAGTGTAAAAATACAGACCCAATATGAAATCGAACACCTTTAAACTACTAAGTAATCTATATAGCTGTCACTTCGTTTTTACTTTAATATCCTGAATTCGTATGATTTATGGTGAGTCTCTTCTATTGTAATGTTGTTTTTGTAGATAACTACAGAAAATCTTCGTCTTCCAATTCCACCTGATTTGGACAGTCGAATTGTACGTCTATTTGATTTATGTACAAAAGATGATCCTGGTAAACGCCCAAGATTTGATATTCAACTCATTCAGTTATTAGATAAAATGCGTGAACGTGCTTCTCAATGAGATGCTTAATTCACTACTGATATCGATCCCGATTAATTTTTAATAACTTACATTGTGGTCAAAAGGATTTAAGTGGCGCGTGCTCATTATAATAAAACCAGCATCACAGCGTTTGCAGCACAAGACAATGTTCTTATTCTATGCTTCATCTGCGATATTTTATCTCTAATATGAACTTTCGTGTATGTGTAGCATATTCAACACATATGCACGTTCATGAACAGTTTTTTGTGGTTCAATAATATCCTTTTTATCTTAAAATCGTGCTTCCTATGAAAATTATTTCTTTTTTCCTTAGGTCTATGGATATTTGATTTCTGTAGTGGTGTCTCTGAAATAAACGTATTTATCGTAATTCCAACCCTAATAGTTCTAAAAGGCGTTTCGCAAATTATTTCTTATTGAGCTTAACAGTATAATATTGTCTTCTTGTTATACAATCACAGCTGATATATATATAGAAATTGCATGGCTTAACAGTTGGGCAGTTATGTACACTTTATACTCACTCGTGCATTCTGTTTGATTTTATGCACACAAACGCACTATTGTTATTGTTTATGCTAGTAAGGTTTGTGATATTAGTTTTTTGTAATAACTTTCAAATGGAAATGATAGGGTGTATTGCTTTATTTTTTAAACAAATATTCATAGCTATTCCTATATACTAATTGTTATCTATGCGAATAAAATATCTTTTTTATATATATAACATAAATTATTACTTCCTGTGTTTTTGATAAGCTAGGTTAACTCAGCTAGGACACAGGCTAATGCAGCTGATAAACACCTATCATAACCAAACATGCGTTCAATTCCACTCACTGTTCAAAATATATAGTTTTTACTAAGTCGTCATTCATTCTGGTATAAAACGCATGAAAAACCAGTTATTATTGATTGAACACTTAGGTAGGTATGGTAAATTGGAAACATGTTATGACTATCTGTCAAAATCATCGGTGAATATGTAACCTTTAGTCGTGGTAGTATCCTTCTCTGACTTCAATGAGAATGATGTGTGTAAATCTTTAATAACTTAGTAGATAGTTTTCTGATTGCTCTTGTCAATAAAAAAGCGAAATAAAAAGTCGAATACAAGTAGTATTTTGGATACGTATTTTCCAACATGCGTATGGGCAGCAGACAAACGAAGTGGGAATAGAAAATTGAGGTAGGTTACACCTCGACTCTGCTAAAGTTAAGCATAATTCAGCTTATACATAAACTAATAAAAGCATAAGATGCAAGTAAGTGAATAAACACGTGTATGCTAAACTCATATATTTTAGAAAACATACTATATGGTGGGATGGGGTTTGAAAATTGGTAGGCCTATGTGCATTATAGGCAAATAATATGAAGCACTGCAATTTCCAACAGAAGCTTACACCTAGTATTCAATCACCATTGATTTGTGACCTATTAAACAACCTTGACTCCATGAAACACCCAAAAGAAATCTTACAAAGCTAGCAGATAGCATTATAACGATACCGATTTGAAGTAACTTAGTTTTGCGCATACCATAAAATATCCAGTCTATGCAATGTATCTACACCATGCCAGATTGATACCAATATTATGCTTTCAGCTGGTGCGTGTGAGTAGTTCCAAAGATTATCAGTGCAATCTAAAGAAAACTACATGAAATAAGCAACCAGTCCCACCTAGATCACAGGTTGACATTCAGACTTATTTACGACGAAAATAAGTATGCCTTAGGACCCACTGGTCTTTTAGTCAGGTATGTTTCAAAGTATACCTGTGCTGCTGTAAATAATAAGTGATTTTTATCCGTGCGAAGGTACTGGCACATCACTATGATGAAGGGACCTAAACCATGAGGTATGCTAATAGTTGGTAAGAGAACCTTAAGTTCCCATTAGAGCTATATCTTCACGGCAAGAGATAGATCAGAGAACATAGCATCGATAATCGTTGGCGAGGGTTAAGACCATCAATATCAATTCGGCACGACTGGGAAAGACCCCAGGATATTCGTTTGGAGATCCCCAGTCGATAGCTAATCCAAGAAAAGGTAGCAGGGTTAAGTAATTGAAGGCGTCGCTAAGACTGCTCGCTGAAGGCTATAATATAGAAATGCTTGCTTTTCTTGACCTAAAGGACAATTATATTGTGCATCCACATCTTACTAGATCTAAATTGTGAGTCAATCTGACGGGATATTACGTGAATGAAACACATAGTACATATATCATGTAAGCTCAACTGAATTTCCAACAAACTACCTCTTATATTAATGCAGGGGATAGAAAGCCGAGCAAGCAATCCAGTATAGCTAATCTGAAACGAGGAAGAGCAGATGGATTGGCTCCATAAGTCTTTGAGGATGGTGGTCCAATATTAGCGATTAGGTTGACTAATAATTTAGCTAAAATCTGGAAGTTGGACGTTATTCCATCTGACTGGTCACAATCCCTGATTGTCCCAATATATACCCAATCAACCAATAAAGGGGAAATAAAGGCGACCCTTTCTTATAAGAAAGGGTCAAAATCATCCTGTGATAACCATAGACGGATTAGTTTGACTAATATAGCATCTAAAATACTACCCTCAATAATTATCGGACGCCTAAGACTCGCAAACTACAAACACGAGAAAACCAGGTTGGCTTCAGATATGGCCGTGGCAGCATCGACCACATATTCACTACTCGTCAGACCTTACAACACAGGCATGCCAGGACGTTTGGAATTCGTTTCTCACCCTCTAAATGCAGGTTATTGCTTCAGGACTGGCTTGCGTTTACATCTGAACTAAGGATAGTGACGTAGTCAAACGCGTCGACAAATTCACTTGTCAGCCGTAATGGGTTGCTGTCTGACAAAATCTCAGGGCGGATTCAGAAATCCCGTTTGGCTTTTGCTAACTTACGTCACCTATGGAGGAGACATCCGCCTATCAATTAAGGGACGAGTATACTGCGCAGCAGTGCGTCCTGTTCTACTTTACGGCTGAGAAATGTAGCCATTAAGAGTAGATACTCGTAAGCTACTAGCATTTGACTACAGCTGCCTTAGAAATATTGATCGCATCTGATGTGATCACCGGGTAAGTGATAGTTAGGCGTGACCAATGATTGGAGACACTCGGCGACATAGCTAAGAGTCGATCACAATCTCGTAGGTGTATACACTCGCTGTCTTCCCTTCAACCGTGAGACTAAAATTTGTGAAACAATTCTTTCTTCCTGTATTATATTCTTATACACAATCTTTCTTTTATACATTACTATCAATGAAGTAACTACTATGAATTTGGTGTCCATCTTGTTGTTCTGAGGTATGGCAACTTGGACCGATGAATATATGTGCCTGGTCCTCCATTTTAGCTGACCGACAGGAAATAACGTAAACACGAAATCGTCTCAACTCTTCGTTAGGAAGCGCACGGGACAAAAACAGATATTTCTAACCGGAAATATACGCGTTCTCATTTGAAGAATTTGATTATGGATGAAATCTGGCAATTTTAATTGATTGTTGAAATAAATCAAAAAACTAATATTTTCAAAAAACAGGTTTATTACCGACTAAATGTTGAAATACATGACAATTATGATTTATCAAACAATCAATAAAAATGGGAAAGTAGAATACAATGTTTCGAAAAATAAGATTATTAAAGACATCCTATAGTTCACTTTTCTTTGGATTGCCTGATCTGTCGTACCCACTAAGTTCTTCAGTAGCTTCGCGTGCAAGGTATTTGATGATGTCAGTAGTGTCCCGACCACCCTAAAGAATATGTGAGGAGGTTCTACATACTTACCTCGTAAGGTACAGGTGAAGATTTCTTTCCTTTAGGGACGAAATAGATTGTTGGGAATCCCCTGACTTGATAAGGTGAAGGGACATCATTGGCAGTTGCATCCATAGCAGCCAAGACCAAATTTGGTTCATTTTTTAGTTTACTGGCTGCTTCCTCGTACTTTGGCATTAGATTTTTACAATGACCACACCAAGGAGCATGAAAGACGACCATTACATCCTTTTCCTCGTTATTTACTATTTCATCAAAGTTGAGTGCAACTAACTTTTTAACTGCACTGGAGTCCTCTGTTGGGAGGGGTTCCGACTTTATATGTGGGGTCAAAAGACCATCCTCAAATTTATTCAAAAAATCAGAGAATGCATCAAGACTAGGACAATTATTAGGAAAACAACTTACCTAAATTTCTCAAGCTTGTACTTTTTGCCTTTAGATTGGATTACAACCGCTGGTAGTTTATCCGCTTCTATACCATATTCAGACAGTTCATAAGAAAAATCATCGGAGAAGCTATAAGCGAATACCAAATTCTTGAACTTGTTAGGATTGTCCTTAAGTGTTTTGAAAACACGATTTCTTAGATACTTTACTCCAGATGGATATGAATCTATGGATTGGTTATTGTATAGTACTACTAAATCGAAATTCTCGAAGTAAAATGAATTTGACGGTGATCTGTAACCAACTAGTCCCTGGCTAAATCGAAAATAAGACGAGACAACTTCCTTACCCATGTTTGCGGATCCATTCCTTAATATTGCTAGATTCAAGTTCTCCTTTATAAAAAGCAAATTCGTCCTCAAACTTTGTTCGAAGACGTTTAGGCAAGTAGACTCTCAATTCGCTGAGAAATGAGAATTACACAAGTAACTTACTAGTCATCAGGAGTTACAAAAAGATTATTATGACTATGACAAAATACAGCGTCGTCGACCATTGATTTTGCAAGAGCCATGAAAGTCTTCATTAATGGGTCGCTAGACGATTTTACAAATGCAAACACAGTTGGCTTGTCGTCTGATAAGAAGTTTTCGACATCACTAACAGTGCTGACTTCTTTGGATACAGGTCCTGCTCGAGACATCATAAAATTGACGATTCCATCTGAACCCCGGTCATAATAATATGAACCCTACTTGCATTCCTTGGACCATTATATTCAGTGTCTAAATCTCCATTCCTGAAGATTTTTAGAGTAGGGTAGCCATTAACTCCGAATTCTGAGCAGATACTTTCGTGAGCGGTACAATCAACCTTAACGAGTTTAACATCGCTAGTTTTCCCGGATATGATTTCTGCGGCTGAAGCGAACTCAGGAGCTAGGTTTTTGCAGTGACCACACCTGTTTAGTATCAAGTTTTAATAAGTCCTTATCAAAATTACCATGGAGCGTAAAACTTCACCAGGGCAACTGGGATTGACTTTAATTCAGAATGGAAATTGTCTTTAGTGAGCTCAAGGACCTTGCTACATGACACAGACGCGACAAGGAACAGACACGACAATAACCAACGCATCCTTAAGAGGTCAGACTCTAACGTGGAATTTTATACAACTCCAGATATGTGTTACGCTGTGATTGGTTAGTTGACGAATATGGATGATGTAAACAAAATAGCAATTATCAGATTGGGGGTTTCAATAATGGTCTAGCTTAGTTCAACTCATGAATTCAACTATTAAAAATGGTGATTATAAGTTCGTGATGTTCTTCAGGGCTGGCTAACATTGGTTACTCTGAGCAATAAAATCGGATTCTGTCAGTTATGAATGACTTATTAATCCAGACTAAGTGAGAACTCCTGGATTTTACAGTGCTATTTGTAAATAATATAATGTATAATGCAACCCGAAGAAAAAACTTACAAAATGGTAAATAAACTGTAATAAGCCGTCTATGTATTTTCTCCGTGGAAAAGCAAATCAATTATGGTATTAAACTATGTCCTTGTATAATAGCTTGTAGCGGTAAATAATTCCCCAAAATCAAATAGCTCTGTAAGTTTTCGACATTGGATGCTGACCATAGTTTTAGTGGACTCATCTAGCGGAAGGCGCTCGGTCAAGCATCCGCACCAGATCACGTGTGGGAACGCCGTGCTCAACATCTGCCTCAATCGCTAGCCAGATTAGTGCCAACGATCCTCGATATATTGATAGCTTATCAAATATATCTTCGATCTCCTCGCTTCTGTCTTTTGATTTTACTTGGTGGGTGCGCTTCGTATTAGGTGTTACTGGTTAAAGCGTTGTCAAACTCCGAATACCTGTGGCATCTTCATTGGTGAGCCCGACGTGATCTGGTACACCATATTGTAAACTGTGAGTCTGTTCCTTTTTGTGATTTCATATATCATTGTCTTATTTTAATTTCTTTTTTTTTACATTGTGATATTTTTTTTTCCGTGTTTTTGGGTTCATATATATATTTGCCACTCGTTCACCTTTCGTACTTGGTATATTACTATGACTGAACAGACACCTAAAGTATTCAAGTTAAAGACTGTGTCCCCACCCTCTTTCCAACTTATGCCTTTCTGGCCAGACAACATCGAAGCCTGGTTTTGTTATACAGAAGCCGACTTCTACGAGCACAGTGTGAACGATGTGCGTGCACAATTCCTCGCAGTAGTCAAGGCACTACCGCGCGAATTCAACAGGTACGTAACACCTAGTATGTTTACTAGTGATGTTGCTGATCCATACCAAACACTGAAACAGGCCATCCTTAAACGCGGAGATCTAACCGATCGACAAAGGTTAGACCAACTCCTTAACAACATCGACCTGCAACACGGTTCTGCCACAGACATGTTGCAAAGAATGCGAGAAGTCATTGGCCAAAGAACCTTCGATGACGGCCTATTCAAGCAACTTTTCTTATCCAAACTTCCTCAACAGGTGCAAGCTGTTTTGATCTCGTTCCAAAACAACGCCGTAGACGAACTAGCGGCATCTGCCGATCGCATTCTCGAGATCACTAGGTCTCCTAACGCCGAGGTTTTTTCAGTCAAAGAAAAGCCTCAAACGACCCAGAATGACATAACACAGTTGTGTCATACACTTACGCGCTATCTCAAACTCGGTAACGACCGCAAACGATCACTTACTCCGCGGAGAAGCACATCACGTAGGCGATCCGTATCTAGAACTCGAGAGACAGATAATCCTGATTGGTACTGGTACCATAACCAGTACGGAAAGTCTGCCAGAAATTGCAGAAAACCCTGCAATTTCCCCAATGCGAAATCCGTCGACGCGAAGAACGCTTCGGGAAACTTCCAAGCCGGCACGCGTTAACGGCGACCGTAGCCGGCGAACATAGCCGTCTTTTATATGTCACTGATGTGATAACGAGAGTTCGCTACCTCGTAGATACTGGCGCAGAGGTTAGCGTTCTCTCGGCGAATTCCAACGACAGGCTACACGAGCCTGTTTTAAATCTACAGGCGGCAGACGGAAAGCCTATCGCTACTTATGGCCAAAGGTATGTTTATCTTAACGTGGGTTTACGCAAACCCATTCACTGGATTTTTGTTGTTGCAGATGTTTCTATGCCAATCATTGGTATGGACCTTCTACAACACCACAACTTAATTATCGATACGCGCAAACGGAGGTTAGTTGACGGAAACACTAATTTATCTGTTTGCCTGACTTCTTTTTCTGGTTGCAGGTTATCCCCAGTCACTATTAAGCACACTATAGACCCCTTCTACCAACCACTACTCGATAAATATTCTGGCATTTACCAATCGCAACCGAAATTGCCGTGTGTAACCAGCAATGTTACACATCACATCACGACTACAGGACCACCTGTATTCTCGAGAGCACGCCGACTGGCCCCCGAAAAGTTAAGGTTGGCGAAAAACGAATTCGACCATATGATAAACTTAGGGATCATACGACCGTCAAATAGCCCATGGGCATCTCCGTTGCACATGGTCCCTAAAAAGGACAGCAACGATTGGCGTCCAACTGGTGACTATCGGAGATTGAATGCAAACACCATTCCCGATCGTTACCCGTTGCCCCACATTCACGATTTGACAGCTACCTTGAAAGGTGCAACTGTCTTTTCAAAAATTGACTTGGTAAAAGCTTATAACCAAATTCCTATGGCCACTGAAGACATTCCAAAAACCGCTATTATAACGCCCTTCGGACTCTATGAATTTTTGCGAATGCCTTTCGGTCTGAGAAACGCGGCACAGACTTTCCAAAGGTTCATAGATGACGTTTTTCGAGGTCTCAACTTCGTACATGCATACGTTGATGACTGTCTAATAGCAAGTCCGGACAGAGAATCACATCTCCAGCATCTGGACATTGTTTTCGACCGACTACAAAAGCATGGCATTACCGTTAACATTCAGAAATGCCAAATCGGAACCGAATCCTTAGACTTCTTAGGACACACTATAGATGAGCATGGCATTCGACCCCTTAGAACGAAAGTAGCGGCCATTCTGGATTACCCAGAACCGACCACCATCAAGCAATTGCGCACGTTTAACGGTCTGGTAAGTTTTTATAGACGATTCATACCGAAATGCGCGTTACTTATGAAACCCCTGACTGACCAACTTCGTGGAAATGCGAAATCCATTAATCTAGATGACACTACCCGAAAAGCATTCTCCACGGTTAAGGAACATATCGCCCGAGCAGCAATGCTTGCTCATCAGGACCCTAAAGCGTCCATTAGCATCTCAGTAGACGCATCCGACTCAGCAATCGGAGCAGTCTTACAACAATGGGTTAACCACTGCTGGCAACCTTTGGCATCTTTCTCTAGACGGTTGCTAGACACTGAATCGAGGTACAGCACATTCGGTAGGGAACTCCTAGCTATGTATTGTGCTGTCCGGCATTTTCAACACTATATCGAAGGCCGTGAATTTATCATTTTTACCGACCATAAACCACTTACCTTCTCCTTAAGCTCTTCTTCGGACAAGTACTCACCACGTGAGTCTCGACAACTGGACTACATTTCGCAGTTTCCTTCAGATATTCGACACATTTCTGGAGCAAACAATGTAGTCGCAGACGCCTTGTCTCGTATAAATTCCTTGAACAGTTCCCAAGGAATCGACCTTTTAAAACTCGCCCAACTTCAAAAAGAAGACAGTGATCTTCAGCACGAGTTGGCCTCAACAACACTTAAACTGCGCATTAAACAGATGGGAACAGGTAAGGAAACCTTACTTTGTGACACATCTACAGGTAGGGATCGCCCAATCGTGCCGAAACAATATCGACGCAACGTCTTCGATACGTTGCACAGACTTTCTCATCCAGGTGTTCGTGCAACCATCAAGCTTATAGCAGAACGGTTTTGCTGGCCTGGTATGAATAAAGATGTGAGGGAGTGGGCACGTTCCTGTGTAAGCTGCCAGAAATCTAAGGTTATTAGGCATAACAAATGTCCCTTAGGCTCGTTTAAAACTCCCGATGCTCGCTTCGATCATGTTCATTTGGATTTGGTAGGACCTTTACCAGATTCAAATGGATATTCTTATCTTTTAACATGCGTAGACCGTTTTACTCGATGGCCAGAAGCAGTACCCATCAGAGATATTACTGCTGAAACAGTGGCCCGCGCCTTCGTCGAGAGGTGGGTAGCAAACTTCGGCTGCCCAACAACCATTACTACAGACCGTGGACGTCAGTTTGAATCTGAACTGTTCCGTTGTCTTACCATGAAACTAGGAATCACTCGCTTTCGAACGACGGCCTACCACCCACAAGCAAACGGGTTAGTAGAACGTTTTCACCGACAACTAAAAGCGTCACTATCAGCCTCAAACATTTCTCAGTGGACTGACGCTCTTCCACTCGTCTTACTAGGCATACGCAATGCAGTGAAATCTGACATTGGATACACTGCATCTCAACTCGTTTATGGTACGACCCTTCGACTTCCAGGAGAGTTCGTGGATCCTTCATCCTCTTCGATGGACATGGATCTAACCTCCTACGCGAACAGGCTTACAAACACAATGCGTTCAGTTAAACCTGTTTCCACTCGACCACAATCAACTGATGTTTTCGTTCAACCTGACTTACTACATAGTACACACGTTTTCGTGCGTCGAGACTCGCATCGACGACCTCTCGAATCAACATATGAAGGACCTTTCAAAGTTCTTCAACGCGAATCTAAGTACTATATAATAGATAAGAACGGAACCAACGAAAGCATCAGCATCGATCGCCTCAAAGCAGCGTATTTAGAAGGAAATCCTATTCACGTCGATTTTCCTTCAATACAATCGCACGACACAACTGCTGCAGTTATAATGCCTCAATCGACAGCAGACACACACGTTGATACTGCGACGGTATCCGAAAATAAACTCAAAACAACGCGTTCTGGAAGAAGAGTAAGATTTCCAGAACACTTGAACGATTACTGCACGTAAGATACAAGTTAACATTTTACATCCTCTCGAATTTCCCTTTGTACTACATATAATTTTTTTTAAAAAAAACCTGAATTTAATATGCTTATATATTATTTTTTTTTTATTTCAAAAAAAAAACAAAAAAACAACGATATTATAAAAATCTTATTTTACGCTACTACGTGAGCATGAGTTTGTTTTCCTTTTTCTTCGCTTGTTTTGTGTTTTCACGCGCGTACGAGTGTATTCCGACATGCACTTACATATTTTTCTTTTCTTTTCCAGGACGACTGGAAAAGAA